CCAGCCAGCCGTTGTGTGGTATCTGGAAGACGTGGCCGAGTAGAGTCTGCTGAGAAGCCCTTTGGAGGGGATGACTACAAGTCCCATCATCCCTGGCTTGCATTAGTCACGATTGTTCTTCCAGAAAGAGAGGGTTCTGTAACCATCTTCGTGGCCAACATTTGTGCACATACCGTAAGTGACACCAAGTCACCAAGTCACCAAGTCACCCTGGGAATCAACTCAGTTGTGTCACTTTGAGTTTTAACACTGTGCAAACCACAGGCCAGCCCTCTTGAGTGTTTCCGGACCTTAAAGCTCAGTTTTTCCCATCCTGAAGTGTCTACCATTCAGGAGTATTGTGAATGCCCAGGTTAGGTAAAGTGTGTGGTAATTGGCAATGCGTGTGTGTGAAGAGGACCATGGTTGTGCTGTTAAAATGTTCCCTTTCTAAGAATTTTCCAGTAACATTTCCCAGTCAGAGGAAAAAAATGGATCCTTCTCACCTATGTGGGCTTAGCAAATTAAGGGTATTTGTATGCAGTACTTTGCATAGGTTTTTTGGTCATAAATCTTAATTTGGGAAGCCAGACAGCTTTGCAAAGTCCATCCCTCCCTGGAAAAATCTTCAGCACAGCCCTTCACTAAGCCAGCATCTTCTAAGAATTGTATTGACGTTTCCTAGCCTCTCTTTTCACCCATAAGGACTAGAAACTTCGAGGCGTTGGCAGACCTGGGGTTTGGTTGGCTGGCGTTTACATTTTCCAGCTGACCTTTTGTGATTTAGGATCTTCTAGACCAGCTATGCTCAGCCTACCTTTTGCTCAAGAGGTTGCCCTTGTAGAGGTTTTATTCTGTTGGGGCCAAAAAGCTAAGATTGTGTTGCCCTAGGAAGGAATTCCTCTGTGTGTGTGTGTGTGTGTGTGTGTGTGTGTGTGTGTGTGTGTGTTAGCAAACTGGCCCAGCCTGTCAGAACCAAACAAAGGATGCGTCAAAGTCTCTTCCCCATGTGGGTTGAGTTGATGGAAACTAGTCCAACACACGGACAAGTGGTTTTTAGAACAATGAGATTCCGTCTCTCCATCCTCATCTCCTCCCCCCCCCTTTGGTTCCCCCACCCATCTTTATCAGAAGTTGCCGACAACTTTTACTCCCTTTAAACACAAAAGAAACTTTCCCTTCTGGGTTGTTTTTTTTTTTTTTTTTAATAGCAGAGATGCTCACTCCAGCAAAATGATTGGCAGACTCAAGAGCTAAGAGAAACCAAATTGTTTATATCCTAATGAATAGAATCTTGATTGCAGGATCCTGTCTGGAAAATTACAGTGCCTGAATGGAAGCCGTACAATTACATCTCCCAAACGCTGCATATTCATTTCAACTGCTTTGCATAGAGATTAACGAGCACGCGCGCCCCGACGCAGACTCCGAAATTAAAGCCAGCACCGATTTTAGTCACAGGTTACCAACTCAACAGCATTGTTGGGAGGGCTAGGAATCTTTTACCACCTGCGATGTGGAGTGGCTTTATCTGGGATGAATTCTGCTCCTTGTTTTTTCCAGTGCAAGAAAAGATAATGAAATTAGGTGGACCTATTTATCTGTAGCTGCATATTAGATCCAATCGTGTATCTGTTTGACCTGCAATGGAGGGGTGGTGGAGGAGGAGAGGGGCACAAAACTCACTTTTCCTTTGCTGCTTTTCACATTTGAACTGGAAAATAAGCAGGTCATATCCCAACTCCTGATTGTGCCCCACACGCTCGCTCACTCTGTCCTTCCTCCCTCCCTCTGGCTTGCCTTGGGGTCTGCTCCTGATGCAGTCTGACAGTCAAGTGAGGTTCATTCAAGTGTCCTAGCTAGATTTTTAGCTGGACATTTAGCAATTTCGGTTTTTCTGTCTTACAGAACCTCAGTTTTCTGGTCCTGTAAACTGGGTCTGCCAATAGTTGACCATCATTTGAAGCTGGGTGAAAATCCAGGTTAATTCTGAACCTGGTGACTATGTTTTTCTGGTTCCAATACAACTGGGGGTTGTGTAGAAATGAAGTCCTACAGACACGGAGAGGGAAAAAACGAAGGCTCGTTCTAAAATAAAAGAATATGTCTCGTGAAGCTGGATATTCTGTATTTTTTTTTTTTTGAAGTTGCCACTGAGGGTGGGGCAGGCTGGAAAAACAGGGATGCTAGAAAGGGGCTTTCTGGTGACTCTTTATTTATTTAATTTATTTGCTGCCTATCTTGTAATGAAACAACTCTGGGTAGCTAACCAGGGTTAAGGGCTTCAGTTTGTGGTTCCTGTGCTTAAGTGGCCAGCAACGGTTTGGGGCAGCCGTTGTCTCCATCAGTGGTGGAAATGTTGAAGGGGTCCACGGCTGACAGAGGGTCCCTTCTGCTTATAAAGGGCTTCCGGGATCCTATGCAAATTGAATCTGGAAGTCCGATTGGAAAGAAGCAGCTTATTATCGGGTTTCCTGCTTGGACTAGAAGACTTTCGAGGTCCCTCCCAACTCTGGGAAGCTGCCTCTGCTTGGAAAGGACAAGGCTGGGGCAGAGGCCCAACGGTCCAGCACCATCCCACTCCAAAAGCTGGCATGCCGAGAATGGCGCTCATGTCAAGTCACAGTTGACCCGTGGTGCTTTTAGGAGCATCCCAACAGGACGAGCAAGTTTTCACGTCTGTCGGGAACCTGGGCCAAATTCCTTCAGGAAAAGGCTTGCTTGTCCTTCGCGGGGTGTAGGGAGGAGGCCAGGATGGTGGCAGGAGAGGGGTGGGTTGCATCCTGCCAGACAGGCCCCCAAATATTTGCTTTTGCCACTCAGCTCCAAAGGCATCTTTTCCATCAAGGCTCCTCGGCAGGTGGAGAACCTGGAGCGGTGCTGCCCTCTGCCGAGCGTTCCCTGCTCTCCGGTGCAAAATGCAGGCGGTGCTCACACAGGGAGGGAGGGGGCAGCCACAGGATCCCCCCTTTCCTTGCCCACTCCTCTTTTTAAATCAACAGCCCGGTTCCTGGATGGACGCCTTCAGAAGCAGGAGCTAAGAAGGTCCGATGTCATTTGGGATGGCAATCTTCTGCCCATCCAGCATGGGGGGGACTGCAGCTCTCATTGGGCCAGGTGGCCTAGTTAATGGTCAGGAGTTATGGGAGTTATAGTCCAAAATGGTAGTTTGTGCAGTGGCTGAGATGACCAGGTTCTAAGTCCCAAACCATCAATCCTGGATGCTCGTGGGATGAGCTGAGGGCACTTTGAGCCCAGCCTATCAGTCAGGGCTGTATGTACGTCTGTATTTATTTCAGATGTATGACGTTTGTGTCCTAGGACTCTTAGGAAAATAGTGAAAAAAATGGGGATTAAACTCCCCAAATGTCATCAAGTGGAGAGAAACAGCCGTTCACCTTTTCTCCTCACCTGTGGAGGTGAAAGCGGACATAGACCCCTCCCATCAGCCCATCCCAAGATCCACGTGTGCAATGCTCTTGGGAGGCGAGGGCTGTGCGAAACTCGAACCTGAATCCTTGAGCCCTGCAGGGGGAAACGTCGGAGAACTCCTCAGTGCCAGGTTCTTCTCCTGAATTTGGGATCTTCTTGCAGCCCCCCTCCCTGGAGGAAAGGTGGAATTAAAAGGGACAGGAAACCAAATCACATTCAAAGTGGGCTGGGCTGGGCTAAGAGGTTGCAGGTACCCAACACTTGCAAAAATAAAGCAAAACAGTGTCACACCATCGCTGGTGCAATGAGACACTCAGCCTAGTGAGTTGTGCAACGTGGCCAGTGTTCATAGGTGACTTTAGAGCAAGGAGAGGTCAGAGAACAGGGGACAGAGGGGCATGCAAGGGGCTGTTGTGTGGCATCCCTATGGTGCAGGGATGTGCGTCATCCAATTGTGATGTGTGTGTGTGTGTGTGTTTTGTGGGTATTTGTGGAGCAGGAAGTCCTGGTCGAGGTGTTCTTATTGTTTTCCTCGTTCTGTTAGGAGTTGTGCCAGTGGAGAAGGATGCCAGACTCTTGATTTTATCAAACTTCCCAAATTCCCAGTGATGCCTTTTGCCCTCCATCAGAGAGGTGCAGAAGGCATCTCAGGAAGGAGAGGGGCTGCAAAACAGCCCACCTGGTGATGATTCCAAGAGGGGGCACCCCACAATTGTGTGCCTGGGTGGAGTAGGCCTTTCCTGGCTGTTGAGAAGAGGGTGTGGATCTGGTCCAAACAATTGGATCTTCCTGGGTCTGGTTTGAGATTTCAGTCTCAGGATTTCATTGAAGGGAGAGCTGCCAGAAAAATATTTGTCCATCCTGGAGTTTGATATTGATTTCTCTTTTTGCGCCTCCAAAAGAAAGAGTTGAACTGATCCATGAAGCCCCCTCTCCTGCTAGCCAATGTGCCAGCTCCAGCTTGTGTGCATGGTTGGTGAAGTTGCTAAAATCTACCAGGCAAAGGATGACCTGATGCCAACAGGAGGCAGGAGATGGTAGGCTAAATGGAGCTGGGAGAAGCAAATTCCTTTAATAAGGCGCTCCCCTTTAGTGGTTAGAGGGCATTTTTGCTCCCACGTAATGTCTCTGCACAATTGTTTCGGTTGTTTCTCAACAGGTCCCAAAAATCTTCTCTGCACCAGAATTTATTCATCTGAGCTGAAACTAAGAATGTGTCGGGAACATTGAACCTCGCACACTTTTGCCTAGCCACATATAGAAATCTTTTAAAATCTTTTTTAACAGAATGCCCAGACAATGCTTAAAACAGAGGAGGAGGAGGAGGTCAAAGAGTTTGTGTGGGGCTCTATGTCTGTGTGTGTGTGTGTGTGTGTGTGTGTGTGTGTGTGTGTGTGTATGTTGGGGTGGGAAGACAGTTATCTGGAAGGAAAGCAGACCTTATCGGAGAGAGCAAGTGCTAGAATTAAGTTATATCCACAGGCGAACTTAAATTGCCGTCTGTGTCAAAGACATGTTGAAAGCACAGGAAACCCACCCCCCAGGCCCTCCCCCTCCCCAAAAGACAGAGCTAAGAAGGGAAGGAGAAAGGAATTCGGGATTACATTTATCATCCTGGAAACATGAGTGGTTTTACATAGTATATTCAACCGTTTCCCCCTCTCGGTTTGGTGAAACTCTTCAGCCAGGGCAGAAGACCTTGGCTGCTCTCTCGTCTCTCTTCTCTTTGCTCTTCCTTAGCAAGAGAATCTCACTCTAGTCTGGACCTTGGCAAAAACCCTCAAGGCATTTTGATGCCTGGACCAGAACGATCTCCGATCTCCTCGCTTGTTCCCAAACTCCCCCCCCCGGGGGGGGGGGCTGCCATGGTTGATGAAAATGGGGAGCCACGTCATTCCATTACTTTGGGGCCTCAATCGACACGCTGCCATTGCAAAGGGTGTGTTGTATTACACACCAGTTCTTGGTTTTATTTTTATTTTTTAAGGTGGCTGTGACGAACACTCCCAACTCCCCCCAGCCCCTTGCATTTTTCTGCTTTTTCTCTCCCTGTTTGGAGGAAAGAGGAACACAGAGAGAAGATTGATAGCTGGCTTCAGATTCAGAAGTTAAGGCCTCGTTGTTGGGTTTTTTTCCTGGGGGGGGGGGAGAAAGGGAGGACTCTGCTGCCTGGTCAAAGGCAGTAAGGAGCTTCGCAGGCTTGCAGTGGCAGCATTTGCAGCCCTGAATCTACAGCTTGCCTTGGGGTGGTTTTCAGAAACCCTTTGGGTGTGTCGCAGATCCAGGATATTTGTTTTTTCTCTCTGTTGTTGGTAGCATCCGAAAATGTCCAGGCCCAGGAGGGAGATCTTTTTATGTTTGGAGGTGGGAAACCTCGGTTGTGAAGCTGCCATCTTGCCTCCTGGTTGGGGATAGCTTGACACAGTGTTCCTTCCTTCCTTTCTTCCTTCCTTGTCTCTTCTTCTTCTTCTTCTTCTTCTTTCTTCTTCTTCTTCTTCTTCTTCTTCTTCTTCTTCTTCTTCTTCTTCTTCTTCTTCTCTCTCTATCTCCCTCTCTCTCTCTCTCTCTCTCACACACACACACACACACACAACCTACCTGGCAACTATTTGCACGGTTCCATGGCTTTAGTCAGCTCCTTCATGCGTGTCTGCCCGACATTTACTACGAAGACCTTGTTTCTGATCCTTTGGGGGCCCTCCCCTCCCCTGGCCCTTTTGGCAACCCACTCTGGACTCTGCCTTGTCTTTTTGTAACCATCAGCCATGCAATTGTCATCCTTTGGGCTCTACGTGAACCAGGCGCCTGAAATGAGGTGGTGAAATCGTCAAACGGCTCCTTGCTGGTGGGTGTTTATCCCCCTGGTACTGAGGAGGGTTTGGGCTGGTGGTGGGGGCTATCGCGGCCTCTGCTCGCCCCAGATGGGAACATCTCAGATTTTGGCAACTTGGCCCACATTCCTGAATTTCTGCAGACTCTTTCTTTGGACGCAAGAAAGCCTCCTTGTTTGCAAGCACCAGCTTCTCTCCTGACTGTCTTGCTCCCGTCTCTTCGTCTCCTCCGGTGGAACTCCAGTTGAGCTGATAAAGGAAGCAGAGAGGAAAGAGACTTCTGGGAAGTGATGTGTCCCCCTCAGCTCCAAACTGGCTGGTTTGGGAGGAGCCAGCTTCTGTCCCACGCATCCTGCGTGTCTCCCACGAACTCCATGGAGACCTCTGGAAATCATTGTCCAGTTAGAGGCAGCTCTCTCTCAGCTACCAGAGGTTGACCTTTATTGACCAAGTGGTGGAACTGCCCCATTTTTGTTTTGGTTTTTGCATTATCTAGGCCACTTGCAAATTATCTGTTCTGGCTTCTTTGCCCCTAAAATATCTTGGTGTCCTTGGAGCCTTGGGACCAATTCCGGCAGGGCTCTTTGTTCGGCCATCGGGACTGAGGTCTTCTCCAGGTGGGAGTGAAGACAGTGAGAATGCTTCCTGTTGGATGTTCACTGCTCATGATGGCATCACGGTCTGCAAACCAGCCGAAAAGTTGGGTGTGACTTCTTAGGAGCCTTCAGATGTATCTGGAGGAAGACACCCGCTTCAGAGCCTCCTAAGTTGCCTTCGTTTGGAGATGGCAGCATCAGTTCCCAACTTCTGCTTCCGTGCAGGTTACTTTAATGGACTCATTTCGGGATCTCGGTCTTGTGGAGCGCTCAGCCACAGTCTGTCCCTCAAGCATTTCTATGCCTGAGCAACACAGCTCCCGCTCCAGTCAAGCTCATCCTCAGACAGACTGATGTGCAAGCTGGTTTCATCGATGCTCAAGAAGGGCCGTGGGGCCCCCCAGTTCTCAGCTGCTTCCACCAATGTATGGACTTCTGTTGACCGCCCAACACTCTCCTGGCCTTGAGTTTTGATCCAGGTGCTGGAATTCTGGCTTCCTCCCAGCGTCCTGGCTTCAGACTCCGACCTAAAGAGGGTGTCTGGGCTGTTGAGCACGGAGGCTTCAGGGACGGCCCCAGAAGACGCCCCAACCTTCTCTGTCTCCAAGCAGGGAGAGATGGTTTTACTTGATCTTCTTCGCAGAGTTGGTGGCGGTGGATTGAGTTTGGGGATAAACAGCTGCAATCTGCCAAAGGAGGATGGGAAGCAGGTCAGAGTCAAGACCGGTTGTGGTTGGGTGTTCACACATACAGTGTGGAACCTCAACATGAGAAGGAAGCAGGTCACAGAGCGGATGGCTCAGTGCAGAGCAGAACCACCACAACTTACCTTTCCCTGAGCATCGCTGCATCTGGACCACTGCAAGTTGGCTGCGTGCTTCCATTGGCTCCACTGCATTTGTCTGCCTCAGATCCCTCCACGCTGCGGAGTCCGTCAGGCCCTTCCAGAACTACCAGGTGTTCTTCTTTCTCCAGCCTGCCGGACAGTCCGCTGCCCGTCTCCAAGCTGGTCAAGTTCTGGTGGGATTCGTAAGAAGCTAGATGCGTCGTGGGGCTGCCCACTATGCTGGCTGGTGTTGAGGTGGAAGACAAGTTGATTTCCAGACTGTAGTGGTCCTTCAGGTTGATGGACAGCGAGTGCTCCGAGCTCAGGTTCTGCAGGGAGCGCTCCACTGGAGGCGAGAAGGGGAAGGCAGGGTTGAGGGACACCTGGAGGCCGGCAGGTAAGAAGGTGCTACTCTGGGGTGGCCGGTGTATTTCTGGCAAGGGCAGCATTCCCTAGACATGACCTCTGGTGGCTTCCCTTCCTTGCCCCTCCGCTGCCCCCTTCTTTCTCCCTTCCACCTCCTGAGCCCCTCAGTTGTCTTGCTCCCAAGGAGCCAAAGGCGAGGGAGCACAAAGCACCTCACCTGCCCCGGTCCCTTGCTCACCTGGACGCCGCAGCTGCACCCTGATCTCCAGCTCCTTCAGCTGCCTCACCAGCAGGGAGACGTGTTGAAGGAGATCGCGGTTCGTCAGGAGCAGCTGGCGGACTCGAGCCTGGGCCTCCACACGGGCCACGGTCTCGGCCGACAGCTGGTCCTCCAGCAGCTGCACCTGTGGGGAAGAGGATGGGAAAGTCGCCTGGCAGGCATCTCCTTCCTGCCCCAACAGACGATGCCCAGACGGGGTAGATTCTAATCATGGATGTTGCACCAGGTGCACAGGCTGGGAGCTGCAGTGGGGCACCTGGCAGCTGGAGCTCCCTTTGCTGTTCGGACAGGTGGAAGATTTAGATAGTGTCTGCTATAATGTCCATGCCAGGACACTCAACCCTACAAGCCCCTGCAGACTTTGCACTGTCACCGCTTGGGAAACCCCGGCTGGACTCACGGCTCCCACAGAATTGTTGTGGCCAGTAGTTCCACAAGCCAACTTGATGGGCTGCCGGAAGCCTCCTTCAGGGGTGGCCCAAGTGGATTGTTGAGAAGGAGAGTCTTTCCAATGGAAAAGAGGCCTGGGCAGATGTAGGAACTTTTGCACCCAGGACAAAGAAGGCTTACCTGTGCAACTGCCACCTGCGTCTGCTGTTGCTGCTGGAGGAGCTGGTGCTGCAGCAGCTGCAGGCAGTGCTGGGAGGCGAGCGGGGTGGCCGAGGCGGAGGAAGAGGGGCTGCCGAGGGGCTGGGCGGAGGAGGGCCGGAAGCCGCTGTTCTCCTTGTCCTGGGAGCCAGAAGAGACCAGAAATGGGGGCTGCTCCTTTCGCCCCCCCCCGGGAAGCCCCAGGGGGGCTCCAGCTGCAGCCTTCCTGTTTCATTTGCAGGGCTCTCCCCAAGGAGTCACCCACCTGGCTGTCCCTTGCCATGGGGCCGAGCCCATTTTTCAGCTCCCCCAGGTCAGGCGTGGAGAAAGGCAGCTCACAGATCCCACAGTCGGGCAGGCACACCCCTACCGACCCGGCCAGGCCGTTCTCTCGGTCAGCCAAGGCCGGCTCCACCGGTTGGAGACCTTCGGGAGACACAAACGAGGCAGAAAAAGTAAGACCCAGCTGGGATCCTGGCCTAGCTGGGGACTGTGGAGTGCCTTGAAAGGGGGGCTGTCCTCAAGCAGAGCTGGTCCTCCAGAGAAACCCCTTCCCAGTCTAGGAAAAAGGAAGAGGAATCTGGAGGAAAGCTGGACTGTTTATCTACCGTTCATCAAGACAGGTTGACCTTGGATAACAGAAGCTGGCCCAGGTGTCTCTCTGAGACTTACCTGCTGCGGGTCATTTAATTTCTGAATGGAACAAAGGGCGTCCTGCAGCCATTGGTGGGCACGGCTTGAGCCTGTTTTTCGTGTGTGGAAGGAGAGGCCTGCAAGGATTATTTTCCCATCTCAAACCCTCCATTTTTGGGAAGCCCAAGATGCCGAGATGAGCCACTTACCTTCTCCAGATTTACGACCCAGAAAAGGCCCCCTCAAGGTCTCACCTTCTATCTGAGCGTCGTCAGCAGAGTTGTTGCTAGCCCCGTCAGCTTGGTCGTCGGCATTCTGGAGGGCGTGCTGCAGGCTGAGCTTGTGGCACACCTCAAAAGCCTGGCCCACTGTCCTCACCACACGCATCGCCTGGGTCTGCGGGAAGAGACCCGTTAGCAGGAGCCAAGGCTTGGCACGAGGCAGCCCCGATTTGCCCCTCTTCGCTTGCCTTCTTTTTGGACTTGAAAACGTTGCAGCGGAAGGAGTCATTGGTGCCATCCCTGGCGATGTAGCTGAAGATCTTGAGATCTTGAGAGTCGTGGGAGACGTAGAAGATTCTAAGGGAAGGTGGGATCAGAGAGAGGGGCACAAAGACAGCTTAAGACCAGCCCATCTCTTCCTTGCTCCAAGCCAGCATTTCTCAACCTTGGCAACATCAAAACTTTAATTCATGGCTGGCTGGGGAATTCTGGGAGTTGAAGTCTGCCCCTCTTCAAGCTGCCAAGGTTGAGAACCACTCAACTCAACAACTCAACTGCTCCAAACATTCAGAAACACTAGCACAGCATCCGTTCCTTACTCTCCAGAGATTCTGGAGTCGATGCTCCCCAGCTTGGATGGCTGAGCCTCCTGGACCTCCTTGAATCAAGGAATCTTAACACCCAAGGATTCAATGGTCCTTTCCAGATGTGTGCAATGCCTACCTTCCCAATGGATGGGGCAGATCTGTAGGGGTGGACGTTCGGTCCCGAGTTAAGTGTTGTGTTGTTACCGATGGCCCTCAACTTGTGAGTTTGTTTAGAGTAAGTTATAGTGGCTCTGAAAAAAGTGACATGTCTGGACACCATGATGGGTATGGAGAGACAAGAAGATGAGGATTATTCCCAGAGACTCACCGATAGACAGGGTCATGCATCACCATGCCTTTGCCTTCATCCCAGGTCCATTCCTTCCTCTGGAAAGGAGAGTGAGAGAAGAGGTGGCGTTAGCTGGGCCAACTGTTTTGGGCTTAGAAGCCATGCAGCACCTCGTATTCTCCAGGAGTTGAGGGGACCAAGAGACCCCCTGCCAAGGACTTGGGATGACGGAAGCTCAAAGCAAGAGCAAGCTCTGGGCTTCCTTTCTCCTCTGCCAAGGGAGACGGGTGTCACTTGATAAACCTTGCAGGTAGAGGATCTCTCTTTGAAGAAGAGAGTTCCCTTAAATTCACCCTTTCCACCCCAGCGGTCTGGATCGCTCTGCCCAATTTGTCTCTGGGGTGGTGTTTTGTCTTGGGGTCCCCCAGGTCAGGCCACCCACCTTCGGCTTCTTCCTCAGCAGCACCTTCACCCCGTCCACCGAGACCACAATGTTGACTTTTCTCTTCTTCACGTTCTTTGCCTTAAATTCATACTGTGGAGAGAGATGACAGAGGCCCAGGAAGTCCCCGACTTAACGGCCACAATCAAGACCAAAGTTTCCATTTCAACAATTATAAATTGAAGATCCTGGGAGCTTTTGACCTGTTTGTAGGAAGGGAAGGTTTGAAAAGGGGTGGGGGGTGGTTTGATAGGCGGGCTGCAGGTTTTCCTTTGCTCCTAATAGAGGGGGGCTTTTACGGGAGCCCCCTACCTCATTAGGGCCTCAAGACACCTCTGCTATTGCTCTACACTTGTTTCAATGTCATCCTATTGATTTTAGCAGCTGCGAGATTTGGGCTTTTCACAATCTTTGTTTTCAGGACCGCTTACTGGTTGGAGATGTAGAAAACCGGACTGGGCATAAATCAAAAACTGCAGTGGCTGCTCTGAGATACGAAAAGATTTCCTGGACCCCTGTTTCTCAGAAGCAAGATCTTTGCCTCAGCTGGCTGATTTGCACCACTGAAGGTGGAAATGCAGAAAAGGGCTCTGCCACAGGGGGGAGATGGAGGACACGGCTCAGAGGGTGGGTGGCATCGTCAGGAAAGACGAGAGGGGAAACTCTGTAGGGAACAGGTGCCCAGATGCTCCACAGAGGCATCTTTCCGCTCTGCTTAATATTCCAGGCGAGTCAGAACGGAGCTGCTGCTATCGCTGGCGAGTCAGGAGGCACAGCTTTGCGGTTTACAGGGGAAAAAGGAGGCTTAATTTCAGCTCAGAAAGCTCAACAACTGCAGGCAGCTAATAATAATCTGAAGGGAGGCCTTGCCGTTTAAAAATACATTCAAATTCAGGCTTAGCTTGGCTTTAATGACAGCGTAGTGTGGCACAACCAACTCTTATCCCCCACATTTGCATTCTGCTCGGTTCTTCCCCTTTTCTCTCCAGTTCTGGCTCTTCCTCCTGTTATCCAAGGGAGGGTTTCACTCTGAAAAGCCACTGCCTTTGATCTCTGCTCTGCAGGCTTCCCAGTTTTCCCAGTTTTGTGGGGGTGGTACAGCATCTGCACCAGCAGAAAATGTTTAGCCTCGCGGCTTGGCACGTATTCCTCCCCCATTCCCGTTGACAGCTTCTCCCAAAGGAGAGGATCTTTGCAAAAGATGGGCTTGAAAGGGAAAAAATTCAGGGGTCTATTTGGCAGTTGGGGGGCACACCCAAAGAGTTGGTGCCATCAGCTGTGCCACCACATAACATCCTGGCTTTTTAAGACCAAGGAGACTGTATTTGCAGGGTCCAATCTGGGCCAGTCACCAGGACCAGAGTTTCGTCTTCCAAGCTTTCATGGGAAGCTGCATGTGCCCCTTGAGGTTGGCTGCAGGAACCGTTTTGATACTGTGTTGTAGGAATACTGATGGGTACGGGTGAATTCTCACCCTGGGTGTGTTCCGTTTGCCCCCCCCCACCACTTAATCACCGGTTTCTGTAAACCAGCTCCTTTGTGGGTGGCATCTCAGTTGGATTTTAGTTTGCGTTCTTTTTTCCCCCTGAAATATTTCTTCTTCCCCACTGAACGTACAAGCGAAAGAGAGATTAAAATTCCTGATTTCTCTCTTCCTGCAGTGAAAAATCTGTTCTTCAGCTCAGCTGAAAGGTGAAGTATGAATCAAGGAAGGAAGGAAGCAGAAGCCACAATAAATCTGTTGCTTGCAAGATTCATAGGGCACCTTCTGTCTTCAAGGAAAGCCAGGCAGATGCCTCCAGTGGATTCACAGGCTACGGAGAGCTTGGCCTGATGTCTCTTCCATGCTCCTTCTCCCCCTCACGCCTGGACAAGAGAGACGTCAACGGCGTTTCTCAGCCTTGCCCTCTGGAAGATGTGTGGACTTCAACTCCCAGGCTGGTTTGCCTGGTTTGCAGGCTGCGAGTTGGAGCCCATCTCTGTGGGCTGGAAAATTCTGGGAATTGAAGTCCACCCATCTTCACGTGGACAAGGTGGAGAAACACTGGCCTCCGAGAGTGAATTTTCCTTGGAACCCGTCCCTCCAAAGAAGCCGGCACGGCACTTTAGGGACCAAGGGAAGGACTTTTCAGAATTGGGTTTTGTGCTGTTGGATGTTTGTTTTGAAGGCCAGACACAGCCTGCCCTGTTCAGTTGGCCCGGAAAGTGCAAGGAGAAGGTCCACCTGGTTAAATCTTAGAAACTGAGTGGCAGCGTGTTCAGAAGCTGGGCAGTGATCAAGAGGAAGAAGGAGGCTGGGGGGACAGTCAACAGGCCCCTTGGTTGTGCCTTAGAGCAGAGGCCCCCAATCTTTGGGGCACCAGGGACCGGTTCCGTGGAGAGAGGTTTTTCCGCAGACTGGAGGGTGTGTGGTTTTGCGTGCTGCTTGCATCCCGTGGATGGGGCTTTGCTTGTTTGTGCGGACCGGTTGCCGGCATGCTGTGGCCCGGTACTGGTGCAAGGACCAGGGGTTGGGGACCCCTGCCTTAGAGGGAGTCAGCTCTGCTCCTTCTACCCAGCCTCTCCCAACTTGATGCCTTCCTGGTGGGTTGGACTGCAACCTTGAAGTTCTTGTGGCTACTTTCCTGTCCAGCTTTTAGTCACTGTCCTGAGCAGAGGTGGGGGTCAAAGTGGGTGTGTGGTCAGTTTATGAGGACACCAAAGCAGTTTCTCCCTGAACTTTCAGAACAGGATGCCTCCCCCCCTTTTCCCCATGTGGGCCACACCTTGGCTGCAAGCACCTGCTGGTTTGCCTCACATCCCCCCCCCCTAAAACATAGGCCAAAATTGCCCTTTGAAAGAGCTGCCACCTCCTCCTGCCCTTTCAGCCATTCCTGGCTGCCTTTCCTTGCCTCCATCTTCCTTCCGTTCCAGAAGAGAGGCTATGGCTGTGGGCTCGGGAACAAAGATGGCGGGAGCCGCGCCAAGCAGAAGGTGGCCTGGCTGCTTCTCGGAGAGGAAGGCGGGGGTGGCATTTGGGGAGAGGCATTTGGGAGCCAGAGAACCTCGTGTCTTTCTCCCCATCTTCCCTTCCAACAGAAAATGCCTGGGTAGGCCTTGGGGATGGGGGAGGCGGGTGCAGAGAAGAGAAAAGGGAGGAAAGACGGGGACGGGTCTGCGTTGACTCACCCGGATCCTCCTCATGGCGGCCACAATCTCCATACGGCTGTTGGGTCTTGGCACCTCCAGGCTACCAATGTACTAGAGGGGGAGAGAGAGAGGGATGCCGTTTGCTCCAATGCCAAAGCAAAGAAAGGGGCTTCCGTGCCCGTGGGAAGCCCCTCTCTTCCCTTCAGGATCTGCCAGGCCTTTGGGCATTGATGCAGGCTTCCCCCAGTCCCCAGTTTTGCTTGCCAATCAGTGCCACGTGTGGCTCAAAGAGCTGAATTCAAAGTTCCCAAAGGAGAGCCGGACTCCAATTATTTTTTCCAGAAGCCTGGCCATTGATGGGTAGTGTAGTCCAGCCTATCCAGCGAGCACTACACAAAGGGAAACTCAGAAACCAGCAATTGCAAAAGGCTTTAGCTCTGCTCTAGCAAAGAGATCCCTGGCCTGCCGGCTTGCAAATCAGGATGAGAACAAAATTTAAGGCGACAATTAACAATCTCAAAAAAATAATTATAATCATAATTATGTCCAAGTTTGAGACAACTAACAAGGGTTGGAGACTTCCGAATGTAAACAACTAATAATTGACGCCTGGAAGCCACATTGTTAATAAAGCATTGTTCACACACTATTTTTAAGTCCTCTCCCCTCAAATGGTTCTAATTAAAGACCAAAGAGGCCTATGTGCCAGGGAATCTGCTTCCTTTTTTTCTTAATCTTCTGGAGTGCTAACTCTGTGTATTTTTATCTCCTGCAGCTTTAAAATGGGAAGCGCATTCATGCCCATTTGGTGGTGTTTTGCTCAGTCCCCCCTTCCCATCTCCAGGTTTCTTGGACACCATCCTTGGCAAGTTTCCCCCTGAGCAATGGGGAGCTTGGTGGCTTTTCTTTTTGTTGGGAACAGAGGCGGGGAGAGCCAATGGCATTCCCAGGATTTAAGGGCAGTGTTTTTTTTAAAAGGAATTTGGCCCAGTTTGGGAAGTGAGGAGCTGAAAAGGTTGAGCTTCACATTTAAAGCATCTCTGTGTCTCTCCCTCCGTCTCTCCCACACACACACACGCGCATGTACACCCACTCCGCCCTCCAAAATGGCCAATCCAGAGACCTCCTCACTGAGCAAAATCCTGGGTGCCTTCAGAGAAGGGAGGCCAAGCAGTCTATTTAAAACAGACTTTGCACAAAGCAACTGGGTTCAGCTTTTGTCCTTGCTTATGTACCCAGGAATATTTAATCAGGGCAAGATAGAGAGAATAACTTGCTGGCAACAGGGTTAAATTCCACTCCTATTGAAAGGTCCTTCAAATGTGGACCAGCTAAAATATGCCAGAGTGCGTGGCTACCCCTCAGGAGAGCTCCTAATTCCAAATTGTGTCCATCCTGACCCACTGCAACCCTTGACACTGCTGGCTGCCAAGGCCGGAGGGGACAAGGCTGAAATCAACAAAAAGTCTTATTTTGTCCTTCTGCAAAACTGCTGTCTGAATGTTGCTGCTTAGGGGAGCATTTCCCCCCTCTTTTGTAAATCTCCCCTTGGATACAAACACAGATTCTACAACGTTTAATATTTGCCATAAATTTTCCCTATCAGAGAATCTGCTCCCTTTCCATTCGGGCCGATGAAGAGATCTGTGCCAAGAGGAAGCCTTCACGTTTTTTCAGCCAGAGTGCCCAGATCCGGGGAGCTGCCCTCCTGGTGCAGCAAACAGGTGAAAGAGGTAAGCTTTTCAAGGTGAGGTGGGGGAGGGGGAGCTCCTCTCCCATTTAGGCTGCTAATTATTTCTGTGGGAAACTGTCCAACTCATTTCAACTCTAAAATCTAAGAACATTAAAATAATGGTTTAAAAAGCATCCAACAGGACAAACCAGTTTATGCAAAGCCAGATCAAGGGCCTGCAGCGGACCTGTTTGGTTTCCCTGCCCCCTTTCTGGTCCAACCCAGGGAAGGAAGACCAACCAGAGGGGGGCTCCTGGGCCAGGCTTTTGCCCGCTCTGGCCTGGTGGCTTATCCAGCATCCTTGTGAGAATGGCAAGATACGGAGGGCAAGGAGCAGCATGGCAAACAGGCACGTTTTGGCATGTTTTCCAATTTGACCAGCACATCGGAGGGGGGGGGGGCGTTGCCACACCTACGCGCGGAAGCTTTGCTTTCACTCAGAGGGAACCAGCTGCTAGACAAGTCTTCATTTTGCACCTGATGTCCAGAGGGTAGACTGTGGCTGCAGAGAGAGGCTCTATCTCAGCCACTCCGGAGGAAAGTTCACTGCCTTTTCGGCGCATCAGGAGACACCAATGCAGCAGTGACCAAGCAACTCTGCCCCTATTTCCTCCAAGCCCCCCTCCTCTCCCGGCTCTTTCCAGACGCAGCCGGCCGGCTCTTTGCCCGCAGGCGGATCCAGCCAAGCGCCAGGCTCGCAGAGGCCTGAGAAACGGGTCCTGCGCCGGAGCTCTCCTCCCTTGGCCCGCTGCCGGGACGCGGGTGGACGGAGCTGGGCCCGGGTGGGCACCGGGAGGGCTCCCTCCCTGCCCCCCGCTCACCTTGGCCTGGAAGTGGATGCCGTGCTGGAAGGCTTCCTCGTTGTGCAGCGGCACCCGCGCGTCGCCCGCGTCGTCCACCAGGTTGTAGCGGTTCTGGAGCTTCCCGGGCATCTTGCGGCGGCGGCGGCGGACGAGGCTCCCGAGGGCTTGCCCGGCGCCAGCGCATCGCCGCCCCGGCCCTGCCCGGCCAGCCGCTCTGCCCCCCGCGCGCCCCGGACTGTGCGAGGAGCGTGGCGCTCGGCCGGCCAGGAGACCGGGCGAGCCAGGCAGCCTGGCTCCTCCCGGGGGCCGCCCGTGTGATGCGCCACGTCGGGGCGGAGCGAGGCGGGGAAGGGAAGAGGCGGGCGGCCCCCGGGAAGGGCCGGTGGGTCGGCCTCGGAGGCGCCCCGCCCGCCGCCCCTCGGCCCGCCGGTGCGAGGCCCGGGCGCGGCGCTGTCCAAGGTACCGGCCGAGCGGGGTCGTCCCACCCAGGAGGACGGGCTGGGGGTCTCCGGGAGAAGCCTCAGCCCGCCTCCCCCGGGGCCTTTCTGGGGGCGCCCTTCAGGGCCCCCTTTCTCCCCCTCTTTGCCCCCTGCAGAGATTTTGTTTTTCAGTGCCCTGTTAAAGCCCCCCCCGCTTGTTTATGGTAATAAACTGAGCTCCTGAGTTTGCACATCCCTCCAGAGACTGTCTGTCCTGTTGTGGTCGGTTATGTCACAAGCCTCAACTCCTGTGGCCAGAGGCTCAATTCCTCTTGTCTGTAGTTCCTCCCTTAATCTGTTAACTCCTTGCAAGAGGCAGTTAAGACTCCAGTTTCTGCTAGAAACTGCCAGCCTTTGACCATCACTTGTAGGTCGCTCTGGGGAGCCAAGGAATACCCACCCCACTTTTGCGTGGAAACTAACATTCCCCCCTTTTCATTTTAGCCTTTGGAAGGGAACACTCTCTTCACCAGGCAGGTGGTTGTTTCCCCCCCCCCATCCAACCCTTTTTGCTTTAATTGTTGGATTGTTGAGTCTGCGAAACCAACCCAGGAAACTCCCTATAATTTAAAGTACATCACATGTTGTTTACGTTTTCTGCAGGCGTCGGACTAAATTTGACCAAAATGCACAAGGCGGAGAGCTGCTGCTGCGCCCTCTTTCCTGCTCCCCGTAGTTTGCTGCCCAGAGGCCCGAGAGGGCTGCCCAGGTCACTGCACACACCAAGCCGTTATGGGGCCTATTTGGCTGGATGTATTAGGCAAATCTAGCAGCCTGTGGCTTCTTCACATAAGCCAGTGGCAGAAATGGGCTGGGCCCAAATGTGGACTGTCCTTGCAAATGGGGCTAAGCCCTAATAAGCATAACACTCAGGGGGCCAGCCAAGGAGGCTCTCTTTGCCCGGCATGCCTGCTCAATTGGGGTCCAGTTGGGGTCCTGCAGGAGGAAGAGTGGCTTTGCTGGAGCTTGGCTGGAAGAAAGGATTTTCCCAGGTGGCTGCGAGGTCACTTGCCCTCCAGTGAGGAACGCTGGGAGGCTCTCGTGGTTTTCTGCATCCCCTTCAAAGCTTCCCACCCTTTGTGTGATGCCCCCTCCAGTCAAGGGAGGCATCTTCTCCGCCCTGCAGCAGCTGAGCAGGCCCTCTAAGGATGAGCTCTCTCTGAAAGCCCCGGACTCGTAAATTAGTCACAATTCTTCTACTAGTGACAATTCTTCTAATCCGCCCAAGTGAGGTGATACAGGAAGATTTCAAAGTTACTTCTCAAAAATAAACTGAAAAGAAACCTTATTACTTTGATATTGCAAAAAAAGCTACCCCAAAGCATAAAATCTCAATTGTATCTCAATACAATGCCGGCACTTATCCAAAACTATCAGGGCAGCCTTTGCACAACACAATTAACCTGGTTGTGGAATTACTCCACTTGTGGAATTTGCACCGTTGCCACTAATCAAGGTTGTTGCACAAACGCAGCTCTTGACTCTTCAACCGACCTGGGGAAGCTTAGAGGAAAGACGAGTTTCTCTGTTTTTGCCCTCCCTCCCGCCCTGTTTCTTCCCAGCCATGCAGGCCTTTCCGGTTCCGGTTTTATCCTCCCTGTTAATTATTCAAGGACGGGGGAGGAATGAGAGAGCTGGGGAAGGCCCAGCCTTTGGGTCCCTTTGCTGCAGCACCATCTGCAGGTCTTCCTGTTCTTGGCTGCATCCACTTCCAGGCCTGACAGGTCATTCAGAGGGAGGCTGGGAATGTCTTTATTTGCGGATTGGATTTCTCTCTCGTCTGTGTGCAGATGGAAGCTGGAGGATGCCCCTGACCCTTTGTCTGTAGAGGTGGATCAGTGTGACGGGTCCTAGGCCCAGATGTGAGAGGGGCTTGGTGCAGTTGACACCCCTACCCCGCCAAGCACGTTGCAAGCTGGTCCCTTCCCAAGAAGCTTGAAGGCTGAAGTGAAGGGGAGACTGTAGCTGCTTGAAGCAAATGTGGGGGTCCTTCTTTGAAACAAGTCGCTCTTCTGAATCCTTGTGGCCAACTCTGACCTTCTAGTACCAAGCTGAGAACAGAGATACGTCTGAGGCTCTGGTCAGCCTGGGTTCCGCCTCCCCTTTTCGTGAAAGAAGCTGGATGGCTGGGGCCAGGCCTCCTCCCAGCTTAATCCCCCCAAACGTTGGGGGAAAGGAGAAGGGGCAGCAACCCCCTTGGAGCAGCTCAGTCCGGTCTGCGACCTCCCACCTGAGGGTCTCGGGGGCCAGGTCAGTTGTGCAGTGATGGAGAATGCCCGCATCCCCTCCCACTAGGCTCTCTTGCCCCTCGCCCCAGTTGGATTCGAGCAGAACCCCGGGCCGTCTTGCAGGGCTGCGGGCACGGAGGCCCGGCCTCTTGGGGAGCCGCAGCTGGGCCGGCTGCCAAACGCGAGGGCGAAGCGCGTGGGGGCTCAGCCTCGTCTGAACGCGGCCGCGCTCCCGCCCGGCTGTCCGGCGGGCTGGGGACTCCGGGCTCTCCCCCCCCCCGGGCTCCCGCCTGAGCCTCGCCCTCACCCTCCCCACCCGGGCGCGCCTGCCTCGTCCGAGCAACCAAGGGCGACGCCGGCCGGGGCGCGGGGCAGCTCCGGGGAGCATGCTCAGTCCCTGCCGGCGCCCGGTGGCGGCGGGAGCGCAATGGCCGGAGGAGGGACGGGAGCAGCAGGAGCCGCCGCCGGCCGGATGGAGCCGCCGCCCGCCGCTCAAGCCAGAGCCGCCGCCCGCGCCCGCCGGGGAGCCCGGGCCGCGGCCGCGCCCGAGGAGAAGGCGGCGCTGGCGTCCTGGCCAGGGAGAGGGCCGAGCGCAGCGGCCGCGCCGCGGGGCCAGGCCGGGTGGCGAGGGGGAGGCGGCGGCGAGGAGCAGCCGCGCGAGGGAAAGGCGGCTGCCGGCGGGGTCGCGCCCGCGCCTCGCCCGCGCCCCCGCCGCAGCGCGCGCTCGGTCACGGTGGACAGCTCCAAGGCGCGCACCTCGCTGGAGGCGCTGAAGCTCAGCCTGCGCCAACTGCGCTGGAAGGAGGTAGGCGCGCCGGCCGGCGCAGAGGCGAAGGAGCGCAAGGGGCGCGGGCCGCTCGGCTCTTCCTTCCTTCCCCGGGGCGCTCGGGTCTCCCTCGGCGGGCGGGACAGGGCAGGGAGGCCGGAGCAGCTCCGGGATTGAGGGCAGAGGGAGGCTCTGCTCAGAGCGAACGGGGAGCCCGAGTGCAGAGGGTCCAGTCGGGCTTCGGAAGGACCACAGCGCCCTTCGCTGTGCTGGCTTGGCTGCGATAGGAGTGGCAGTCGCAGGCATCTGGATGGCCTGGTTTGGGAAGGCTCACCCCCCCCCAAGTCTCCAGAGACCCTCAACCCCTCTCCCCCCTTCCTGCAGCGTCCGTCCCTCCTTTTCCTTCTCAGTGTCCACAGAGCTGTTTGTGACATCACTGAGTGGTGCCAGACCGGCCTTTGTGGTGTTGACAAGCAGGGCTGTAGGCAGGGCCAGGCACAGGGCTGGGGGGGAGGGGGAGGGGGGAGCTTTCCTGGGCTTCTTTTGGTGTGTGAAGGGTGCCCAGGCTTGTGGCCACATCAAGAACCGAACAACTGGAGAAGCACATGGCCAGAATCCCAGCAGGCGCTGGTCTCTCCCAGCCAGTGGACTCCTTTGGGTGGGCTTGGTGGTCGGAGGGGGGGTGATCTTCCTCTGGAAAAGGAGGGCTGCTGGTTGAGCCCCGGTAGCCGGCCCAGGGCTGCTCAGAGCCTCAACCCTGCCTTTCCTTCAATTCTGGCTTCCAGAGATCCTGCGTCCACACAACCAGGAGAAAAAGAAACACGCTTTGTATTTAAGCCCTCCTAGACCCACAGCAGACAGGCCTGCTCCCAAGGCTTTTCCTAAGCCTTTTGGGAAGTGGGAAATCAAAAAATCAAGGTTTGGGGCGGAATCAGAAAATCAAGCTGTAATATCCGTGTTTGCAAAGGAATATTTCTGTAATATTGGAGAGCAAAGCAGAAATAAATCTGGCAGAAACAGGATTTTGTGAGTGATTGTCTTGCAAAAAACCACTTGCAAAGGTGTGAGCAGAAGCCAGGCTGTCTGTGCTAATCCCAACGGGTGGCTCTTCTGAAAGGTCTCCACAACAAATCCTTTTTGCAACAAGAACGACACCTTCATTCTCCACTGGGCTTTGCAGGGTGTTATCAAGGAATTAGCATAATTAGCTTCAACTCCAAGATCCTTGGCCAGGAGAGGGGGCTCCTGCCTCTCGGAAGGCAACCGGCGAGCATCCGTTGCAGGAAATATCCCTTGAACCTGTGTGTTACTTCAGAAAGGGGTGGCCATTCATTTATACATTGTCTGTGCAATTTTCTGCATCACACACACTCCTCTGATGTTACACACGCCTGGAAAGGCTGAGGTTTTCAAGCTTCCGTTTTTCTTTATAAACTCAAGCATCTGGTCCTCATGTTTCATCAACACTTCATTGATATATAATTACTTTCTGCACCGTTATATGGATGTCATTGGTCCTTTCTGCACCTTGAACCATCGGTCTCCCGAGTCTCCTTTGCTGTCAGGGGTGGCGGTGGTCAACCTGGCGCCTTTTTCTCTCGCCCCTTCTGGTCAGCAAGTGAGTTCAGGCATTTCTTCCTCACGTCCTCCTAGCCCAGTTGTCCAGTCTCTATTTCCCACCCTGTAAATGTTTTTGTGCGTTCTTTCAGTTGCAGAACTTGGGCCTGTGGGAAGGTTAGCTTCTTGCTCATTGTCTCAGTTTGGGAGGTGCAGATCGGGCGAGCTTCTGTGACAAAAGACAGGGAGCCCTTCACCCCATTTATCCGTTTTCCAGGCCCCCTTTCCTCCAGGCCAGGGGTCTCTCTCTTGCGGCCTCTCCCAATCCGGTGTTCTCCAGGTGTGTTGAACCACCGACTCTCCTGCCAGTTGGGAAGGATGGAGGGCGAGGCTGAACACACTTGGAAGGCAGCATGTTGGGGGGGGGGCAGGAAACCCCCAGTTGCATTCCAGGTGCCCGCGGGGCAGAGGAAGGGGAGGCTTGGGAGCTGATCTGGGCTCTTGCTGGCTTGTTTTCCTGCAAACAAATCTTCCACAGATTTTGAGGCGTCTTTGCTTCCCTGCCCACCTCCTTCCCCTCCACCCACCCCCAGTCTCAAGGCATCAGGCAGTGAGTCACAGATCCCCCTTCTCCGTGGCTGTTGTTGTCAGTTGTGGGTGCCACCCTTCCCCATTAAGCAGGGGAGAATGAAAGCACGTGCGCAATTAGCGTGTTAATTAATTGTTTTCTCTCTCTCCAGAGCTGGCTGTTGATGAAGCTGAGGTTTTTGATGCTTTTCTTTCATTAGAAAAAGAAAGGAAGGAAAGGAACAATGTCAGAGCGATCTTTGCAACCTATCGCCCTCTTCCCATTGACCATCTCTGACCGATACTCAGTACAGATTTATGCCCGTCTGGACTCTGGCTAAGCGGTCTCTTTTTGTGTTCTTCCCTTCTGCTGTGTCCAGTTTCCGTTTGGCCGCCGTTTGCCCTGCGACATCTATTGGCACGCTGTCTCCTTTCACGACAATGTCATTTATTCGGGACAAGTCAACAAATTTCCAGGTAGCTGACCTTTGATGAGAACTGGGGTTGGCTTGTCTAAGCAAAAAATGATGCAAAAAAGCCCAGCCACATGGGGACCCTCTGCTGAAAATCTGGATGCCTCAGAGCTCCAACGTTTGTTGGCCTTAGCCTGAGATCAGCTCCTTCATCAGAAACAAGAATGTTTAACCTGGTCTAATATTTAGTCTACTCAAAAATAGTCTAAAGCCAACTGCCACCTCCTCTCTCTTAAACCTTGTCTTATGTCTGCAATTAGTCTCCTGCTGCCATTTTTCAAGATTGGAGAAAATATTTCTTCTAATGTTTTAAAAACCAATAAAGGAGAATATTTGTAGCTTAGGGTTGAAATGAGGGGTCTTGGGTGCTCTCTGAGCTTGGTTGTTTTCTTGCAGACATTTCATTACCCAACTAGGTGACATCATCAGGGCTAGGAGGGAGTGGTTGAGTGCTAGAACAGAGAGCAAACCCTACTCCCTTCTAGCATTGATGATGATACCTAGTTGGGTAATGAAACGTCTACAAGAAAACAAGCAAGCTCAGAGAGAATCAACAGCACCTCTCAATATTTTAAATGTCTGTCACTGAATGCTGTCTGCTCTCTAAAGTCTTTTGAGGCTTGGTCCTTGTGGTGGATGCATATTTTGATGGGACAAACTGAAAACAATATGATGATGAGGCTGGTTTCTGCCCAAATAAATCGTGGACTGTGTACAGCTAATAAATACTTGCTGTTCCTTGATTTTGCTGAAAAACATACGCCTCCCTCAGTGGGCCAATCAAAGCTGTCCTGTCTCTTTTTTCTGCCAAGAGAGATTTCTCAGATGGGCCATTTTCTTTTAAGCACTGAGGAATTTAACATAACCTTTCCTTGAGATAGGGGCTATTAAACTGCTTAAAGCTCCCTGATTTCCCATTAATCTCTTCCTGAATCTCGCTAAGGAAGGACCACGTTCCTGTCTTATCGCTGTTCCTGTCTCCGCTTCATTGTGCTATACAAGGATCTATAAAAAGGCCTTCCCTGGGATCAAATTGGCAAAAAAAGCAGCTCCTTCCAAGTGTAATTAAACCTTGGGTTTTTTTTTTTTTTCTCCCTCTCCTGGCTGCAAAGTGTGAGCCGCTCAGTCTGAAGAAAACCTTCAGCAGTAACCAAGTCCCATTCTTGGGCACTTTGAAAAGCAGGGGAATCTTTTAATATCACACAGACCGATCAATACATGATAAATCGGGCTGTGCGCATTTCCACCCCGGTGGCACAAATGTGCATATTTAGAAGCTTATTCTGCTGTGAAAGTTTACTCCCTGTTAAGTAGGTTTGGGATTTTAGCTTCAGAGGAATCAAATAGCCCTTGTACCCAATAGGACGGCAGGGGTTGCAGCTCACCTCCACGACCGGGAACTTTTAATGTTCAATACGTTTAATTTATCATCATTAAGTTGATCAGCTTAATAGATCCTTTGGGCAGTTTATAAGGTTGCTTAAGCAGGTAAACAATCGATAAAAGATAAAATAGATGACTAGGTTGAGCAGCAAGGAAGAGCAATAAAAGGACATAAAAGCCACGAGATCCATCTCTAAGGCAGAGATGGAACCTCAGGGCTGGGAACGGCCCCTTTGAGGGGAGCATCTTCTCCGGCACTTGGCTGGGCATTCTGGGTTGGCCCATCTCACCGGGCAGCTGCCCTTGCCAAGCTTCTCCCTCTGCCCACCAGGCATGACTGAAATGGCACGGAAGGTGAACCTGAGTCGCGCCATGAGAACGATGCAGGAACTTTTCCCGGAAGAGTATAATTTCTATCCCCGTTCCTGGATCCTTCCGGAGGAGTTTGCCATCTTTCTCACCGAGGTAGGTGGGGGCTCTTTGAGTTCTGCTCCAAATATTAACCAAGGAATCGGGTTTTTTAGCTTCCATGTTTCACTGTGCCCATATCTGCCATGGCTTCTGACTGAGGCTGGGTCCATAACTTGCAGCCAGTGTGTCTGGAGGGCATCCGGTTGGGTGGTTTCTCTGAAAATCTTTGTCCATTTTCCCCCCATTTCCCTTGTGATGCTTCCACGAGGGGGCAGCACACATCCGAGGGAGAGGTCGATGGAGACTCTCAGTCAGGGCTGCCCCAAAGGTGCTTTTGCAAGAGGTTTTCCTAGAAGACGTTTCGCCTCTCATCCAAGAAGCTTCTTCAGTTCTTCAGTTCAGAGGTGAAGAAGCTTCTTGGATGAGAAGCGAAACGTCTTCAAGGAAAAAACAAGGCAAGCTCCACTGGGGCACCAGACATGGCCGTCTAAGAAGGGGATTAAATGGGATCTGCCCCAAGGCTGATTTAAACATAATTGGGGGGGGGGTAGGAGAGGGGAAAGGCCTGCATGTAGGTAAAGGTTTTGTTGCCTTCCTCCTCTTCCTTCCCTGGCAGGTAAACCTGATGAAGGAGAACCACCCCAGGTGGAAACCCACCTTCATCGTGAAGCCTGACGGCGGCTGTCAGGGGGACGGGATCTACCTCGTGAAGGACCCCACGGAGATCCGGCTGATGGGCAACTTGCAGAGCAGGCCGGCCGTGGTCCAGGAGTACATGTCCAAGCCCTTCCTGATCGACAAGCTGAAGTTTGACATTCGCCTCTACGTCCTGCTCAGGTCCCTGGACCCCCTGGAGGTCTACGTGGCCAAGGACGGGCTCTGCCGGTTTTGCACGGAGCCCTACCAGGAGCCATCCCTGAGGAACCTCCACCAGGTCTACATGCACCTGACCAACTACTCCCTCAACATCCACAGCGGGAATTTTGTCCACTCGGACAGCGGCAACACCGGCAGCAAGCGGACGTTTTCCAGTATCCTGGGCAAGCTGTCTTCTGCCGGTGTCAACATCCGGAAGATTTGGTCCGACATCGTCTCGTTGGTCATCAAGACCGTGATCGCCATCGTGCCTGAGCTGAAGGTCTTTTACCAGTCTGACATCCCGGTGGGCAAACCGGGACCCTCGTGCTTTCAAGTGAGTGTAGGTCTTCCAAAGTGGGTCGAGAGGACTTGCGAATCGACTGGGGGAGGGGGGGGGTCCAAAGGGAAGAGTTTTGTATATTTTTATTCATTGCTTCCCTTAGCCCCCAGCCACTGCCTTTGGGTCTGGGGTTGTGCAAGCTGACCCATGCTGTAAAAGTTTAGGGGGTCCAGCCCTTTGTGTGTTCTGCCTCCAGAGCAAAGAGTTGCAACTAGCTACTCTTGATTGAGGGGCTCTGGGGGCATGGAGAGGCTTTATAGACTCCCCCTAGACTCCCCCGCCTCCTCTCCTAATTCTTGGCTGCTCGGCCAATGGACACCAGCAGAGCCACGGAAGGCCCCAGTGCCCACGTCTTTGGGGGAGCCCTCCCTCAGTACCCCTTTTCTTCTAGGGGGTCAAACTGAGCAAAACACCAGGGATCTGGGATGGTCCTTTCCACCCTCGTGGGTCCTGTCTGTAATTCTGTGCTCTTGAGAGTCTGAAGAGGAGCTTGGAAATGGTTTTGCTCTGTTCTTTGGTTTCTTGGAAAGCTTTCTTGCTTTCTCTCCTCCAAAGATTTTAGGGTTTGACATCCTGCTGATGAAGAACCTGAAGCCCGTCTTGCTGGAAGTCAACGCCAATCCAAGTATGAAGATTGAGCATGAACAAGAGGTGGGCACCAGGTCTGGCCACAGCCTCTTTCTCTCCCTGGGAAGATGGGAGCAGCCCTCCATGCATCCTGGGCCCCAAATGCTCCAGGGATCTCAACCAATCAATTAGAATAGAGTTGAAAGGGACCTTGGAGGTCTTCTAGTCCAGCCCCCTGCTCAAGCAGGAGTCCCCATATCATTTCGGACAAGTGGCTGTCCAGTCTCTTCTTAAAAACCTCGAGTGATGAAGCACCCACAACGTCTGAAGGTGACTTCTGTTCCACTGGTTAATTTTCCTCAGTGGCCAGTTGCTGGTTGCCCACTCCCTCAAACGCCCCTTGGAAAGAACGTTCTGTCTTAACTTCACATTGCTTTATTATATTAATCAGCATTCAGCTAAGCAGGATGTTGTACAGTCTTTTTTTCTACCTTTTTAAAGACACTTTTTCTTTTTAATGTCTGTGTTTTTTTATCTGTCTTTTTGGCATTTTGTATTTTAACCTTGGAATAAAGTAAAAAAAAATCTAAATAAAAAAAACCTCTGGCTTGAAGGAAAAAGCTGACTTTTGAGCATGTTTGCCAGTTGCTGGGATGGGCTTCTGTGATCAGCTTCTCTTCTGGATTTTCAAGGTTTCTCCAGGAGTTATGGAATACATCCCCAGTCCGGTCGATGAAGAAGTCAAGGTGGCCGTTATCCGGGACACCCTCCGCTTGGTGGATCCTCACAAGAAGCAGCAGCAGCAGCCGGGGGAGCAGGCTTCGTAAGTGGGACCTGATTTCCAGCTGGCCTTCAGCACTTCAGAACAGGCTATGTTGGTCAGTTTGGAGGCAAAGCCATCAGAATGCAGCATTACATTGACTTAGTCTTCTCTAAGCCCAAACTGGGCAAAAAGGTCAGTATTTTCCAAGAAATACCCCATTCTCTGCCTGCCTCAGGTTTTGCATTGTGCAAGTCTGGAGCAAAGCAGGAGCCATAATCTCATTCACATTGCGGCAAAATCTCCCGATGCCATCTTGGCACCAGCATGTCTTTTGTTCTCCAAATTTAGGACCTTCTCCAAGTTCAAGAGAAGCAGGGGAGCAAGGAGATATACATCTCCCAGTAGGCAAAAAGAAACGGATCCGTTTTTTCTTCTCCTCTGTCTTCGAAAACTGCTGAGAGGCAAGGTGGCTGTCCTTGCAGACAAAAACAATCACACTTAAATATTTACAACCAGCTGCCAATAGGAAGAGTCTCAGTGGTGGAGGGGGGAGACACAAAAACAGATACAGACAACATAACAGAACCGACTGTGGAGAATCTCCTGTGATTTATTTTCCGATCACCAATAATAGAGGCGGGAACGCTGGCAGGAGGCGACTGTCCTGCTGTCATAATTTAAGCAGCTAAATTAAGGCCATCATTTATGTGCAATAACCTGGGGTCCTCAAGCTCACGGGCTGCTGAACTACAAGGCCCAGCAGGCACAGCTGATTCTGTATTTCCCCAGCTTCTGGCTGGATGTCTCTTTGGCTGGTATCAACCTTCAGCAAGGTTGACGTTTTAACAGGCATCCCAGGGTGGGGCGTTGTAGAGGCAGCCTGGGGTCTGTGGTGGGAAGACCATCAAGTGCAAATTAACAGGTATGGGAGATTAAACCTGGTAAACGGAAAACCCTCTCTCCAGGCTTTGGGATAAAATTAAAATTCTGTGTGGGAAGCCAGCTGGCCTTTCCATTGGCTTGATGCCTCGCCCTCTGCCCACCCAGGAAAGAGAGGACCGGGGCTGCCTTCTGAGGGCCGTTTGTGGGGGTGGGCTTGGTTGGTCCTGCGGTGGCTGGCTACACTGTTGGCCAGACGTTGCTGGCCATTAAGAAGTATTTCCCTTTGCTGGATTTAGAGTAAACGGTTCTGTTTGTGACGACTTTGGGAAGGAGGGCAACTAAGGACCTTCCACCAGCAGCCCTCCTGTGTGTAGAAATGGTGGCCTCTTTGTGGCTGCCCATCAATTGTCCACCATCGTTGCTGCTGAGAGGCTGTGAAATGTTGGCTAACATTCATGGGTGGTCATGGAGAAACTCAACTGGCAAACTTCACAAACCAAGGTAGTTACCCTCGCCTTTTGGGAGGCCAGTTGTAACTTTAATGGCCACTAAGTGACCAGTCCTAAGTCCAGGACAACCTACCGGCCAACAAACCCTCCCTAAAACCATCTCCCGTACCATCTCTCTCCAGGCTGGCTTTCCCTTTCCATCTCCATGGAGAGCAGAGCTCCCGCCTGGGAAGAGGGCAGCTGGGGGGCGGCTTTGGGGCTTAGCTGCCGCTCTCAGGGTCCCTGGACCCCGCTTGTAAATCTCATCTCTCAGCCTTTCGTTAGCAGCTGGAACCGGAGCTGAGAGAGCGGCACATTAGCATAAAGATTAAGTGCCCTGAGAAGGAGCAGAGCTGAGGATCTGGTGCAGATAGCAGGAAGGCATTAATAAATTAGTAATCATGTATAAAAGATAAGCTGTCCTTGAGATGTTGAAGAGCTGGGCTCAGATTGAAAACTTTGCTCTTTGTGCATGATGCTTCACAGACAGACACCCCTTCCTCCTTCTTCTCCCCAATACGGTTGATAATTTCTCCAGGCTGATTTCCTAGTTGTTGTTGTTTTTTTAAAAAATGGAGTTGCAATTTGGCAAAATCCAGAATGAGGCGCTTCCTGTCGGCCACAAATGTGGAGCGTGTGAGTTTTGTGGTCTCCTTCGGGGGGGGGGGAATCTTGCTGGGCAGGTGTCTGTCCTCCAAATCTGGACTGTGGGTTTTGGAGGTCGTTTGATGACTCAGTTGCTATTGATTTTACCATCAATATTTGGCAGGAAGAGAGAATTTAGAATTTTAGAAAGCTTTTTTTTAAAAGCTGGGATTCAGTGTAAAAACAGAGCCGGCTCACTTGGCACGGTGCCTGGAGCTGTCTGCCAGTCTGCACTGGGCCTTTCCTGCCTTTAGAGAGAGGGACGGGTACCCAGGAAGCCTCTATGCCTCCTTGGGGGGGGCACTGCTGCCTGCTTCCACTGCTGAGGTCCGATGAGGCGGGGGCTCTCCCTGGCACTTCCAGCTCCATTAGGTGGGGACATTGAATGAAGGTGGGCATCCTTTCCTGAGTATTTGGGGTCTCCCTCTTGAACTACAGAGCTGAACCGGTGGAACTGACAGACAAGGACAGCTTCCTTGAGGAGGAGCTGCAGAACAAGCCCGAGCTGGGGGAGAGCCCCCCGCCAGTAGCCGAGCCCCCCGCCCTCTGCCTAAAGGAGGTCTTCCCCAAGCACGCCAAGCAGTTCAGCTACCTGAGGCTGGTGGAGCGGATTGCCGCCCTCTTCATCCGCTTCCTGGGGGTGAAGGGGACCACCAAGCTGGGGCCCACCGGCTTCCGGATGTTTATAAGGTGAGGGGGGCTTTCTCCTTTCCTTCAAGATGCAGAAGGGCCTTTGGTCCTCTGGACTGCATCTTCCATGAGCCCCACTTAAGGTGGCCGGAGGATGATCCTTGAGGTCTTTCTGCTTTCTCTCTCTCTCTGTGTGTGATGCCCCGTTCCTCGAGTTCAACATGCTGCCCATCAGGGAGGCAGAGAAAATGAGGACCCCCCCATCCCATAATAACATTGTTTCCTCCTCCTCCTCCTCTCCAGGAACAGCAAGATCAGCAACAGCGGCTTCAGCATGGCTGCGGGGGACATTCTCTACATTGACATAACCCGGCGGGGCATCGGGCCCAGCATGGACCAGCGCGAGGCTGGTGAGTCTGCCGCCAGCCGGAGAAAGATGGTCCCTCTGAGGGGCCACTGGTGGGAGAGGGAGTCCCAGCGGAGAGACTGGGCCCCGCTTGGCCATGCCGGGATCCGTCCTTCCCCCACCTGGGAGGGGGCCAGAGCCAGCCCCTCCAGCAGCTGCCCATCCTCTTGGTCGTCAGAGTGGGTAGCTGGTCGCAGGTGGGAGCCATCCTTGCAATCATCTCCCATAATCCCCAGCCAGCCTTCCCAGGGCCTGCTAGGAAGCCGGTCTGGAAGGCGCTGGTGCCTCTTCTGACTTCGAGACGGGGACTTCCAGGTGGCTGAGTGGGATGTTAAAACCTCACCAGCCCTTTCCAAGCTTGCTTTTCTCAACCTGAAGGTTCCTGATGTGGCACAGATTGCAAAGACCATGTGGCTGATGGGGAGAGGGGAGAAGAGGGGGCTTGGTGGAGCCCAAACAAGGCCAGATGTAGGGATCCCCCACTGACTTTGGCCGAGGTGCTTCCAAATCTCCGCCCTGGAGGAACTGCGCTGGGGCGATGCTTGGCAGCCCCTGGACCGAGTCAGCAGAAGGGCCGAGTTTTCGGATTTTGCGGCTCCTTCCGAGGCTGAAATTAACCGGCAATTAGAGGGAGAGGAAGTGTCATTTCCCCATTTACGGCTCCGAAAGAGCTCCGCCATCTGCTCCATTGTTCAGTCTGGATTCGCACTCCGATTTTTTTTTCGCCCAAGTTCTGTTGGGCTTGCATCTTAAATTGCTGTGGGTGAGCAGAATCTGTTGTGGTTGTGGGATGTTGCCTGCGCGGATTTATGTGGGTGCGTGTTTTTGTTTTGCTGACTGAAGTGACAATAAGGAAAAGATGTGAAGGACTGCTGAGGAGCAGAATTCGGCTTCGCCCCCCCACCGGAGTGCCTTCCTCCGAACGAAAATATCTGAAGAAAATTCTTCTTCCTCTTTTGGGTCACCGAGTTTAGGCTCTTCGCCTCAATAATCTTTGCAGGCCGCTGGTCCAAGCAGCAACTGGGCCCTACCTGTTGAGCTTCTGAGCCCAAACACCTTGGCTCAGGTGTTTCCACCTGCTGGGACACTTCAAGGCTGGGAGACAGGCTCTACCTGCCTATAGGAGGTAGATTTTCTCCACTCTAGACAACTTTGGTCTCTGCTGTTTGATTCCTTTGGAGGAAAAAAATGGAGACCCACCTTTAAAATGCCTGTTTGGGGGCAAGGAAGATTAAGACCAGCGCCTGGCAATGTAGGCACAAGGTGGCGTCCCTGGCCTGGCGGGGAAAGATCCGGGGAAATGCAGAATTTGGAAAATTCTGTACTGCAGGGAAAGAAGAGTGATTCTTAATTTGAGGAATTTAAGCAAAGCTTAGAGGAAGTCAAGCCAAAGAGCAAAGCAAAGGAAGGGACGCTGTCAATCATCACAATGATTACAATAAGAATGACGATGCTACCTTTAGATCCGTCACTAAGAAATAATCCATAGTAGTGGGTTAAGTCCATGACAAAAGTAGCATTTGGATGGATGCACAAAATAAAATCCATTGGGGGGGGGGAAAGAGAGCCTTTTTGTCAAGAGGAGTCCAGCCCCCCCCTTCATGGGGAGGGGGGGCTCCTCTCTGAGGTTTTAATATGCGATCTGGATTACACAGAAGCGTCTCAACAGGAAGCCACACGCGCTCCTTGAGCGTCTGGTACCCAGAGTTAATTGTCAGGTTTTATTAAAAATTGTAATGGATGGGATTTATTTTAATATCCACCAAGCCACTCTCTGTGCCAGGCGACGGGAAGGAGGCTGTGGGCAGCTCCAGGGATGCCGGTAAAAGCCCCCTTTCCTTGCCAGAGGCGGCAATAGAGAAGAGGTTTTCCTGCAGGGAGCAGAGAGGGGGGAGGGCCTGATTTATTTACTCCTGCCCCCTCCCCTTCCGAGGAGCTGGCCAGGCAGCCTGAGAAGCCAGCCTCCAGCGCTCGCCCCCAGCCAAGTGGAGATCAGGCCTCCCGACCATCCGAAGCCCCTCTTTGCAGGCCAGGGTGGGGAGGGAGCTCAGCAGACGGGGCCAGGGTGGTGCCAGCCGCTGCCCAGCTCCCCCAAGGCCTGAGGGGCACGGGACAGCCCCGTCCTGCCTTCCCTGTTGGACGGTCCCAGCTCCCACTCTCGCTCCTCCAAGCCCGCCTTTGAGGGGGCCATAACAAGAAGCTTCAGGGCTTGGTGATACTCCATTTTGGTACCTTCACCTCCAGTTGGGTGAAACTTCTAGCCGATGCTGGTTGCCCCACGTGGGTTGGGTTATTGACCCCCTAAATGTCATAACCCTGTGAAGCAAAACTCAGGGCTGCTCCTGGCTCCCCTCCCCTCTTCTTCCTTCCCCCCCAGGAATGAGCCTCCCAGCCTTCGTGGAAGCGGTCTGCTTCCTGGCCCAGAGGAGATACAAGTCCCTGTCGCTTCACGAGCAGGTGGAGCTTCTCCTCGACTTCTGCGAATACAACCTGGCTGTGCTGGACGAGAAGCGCCTGGCCTGCAGCCGAAGCCTCTCCGGCACCCAAGCCACTCTGGTCACCTGCTCCCAAGACCGCCTGCAGCTCAGCCCCACCACGCCCGGCTCGATTGCCTTCCAGAGAAGCCAGAGGTTTGTCGACTGCAGGAGCTGCCAGCCCTGAAGAGGACATCCTTTGTTGGGAGGACATGAAGGTCTCACTGGCCTGATGCCCAGCCTGTGCGGCAGGAAGGGGAGCCGTGCCCAGCCCTCCCTGAAGGCACATTGGGGGTTTTTGGAGGTGGGGGCTGCGTGGCCAAACCCCTCCTGGCAGGGCCTGTTGACGCATCGTCGGAACGGAGGGCCAAGCGGCTCCCGGATCAAAGCAGCTCTTCTCTGGACACGCAGAACTGCCTGCTTTGCCCTGGACCCAGCCAGGAACCCCTTGCTGGAGGGAGCCCAGGGTCCGTGGGCTGGGGAGGGGGGTTAGGTGGGATGGGGAGATGTTAGGAGATTGGTGGTGCACAAAAGGTAGAAATGATGAAGAGCTTAACGTACACTGAACTAAAATCCTATTTATGTATGCCAGCTGCTTTGCAAGCGTTGTCTTCATTGGGAGGGGCCCGGGGGGGCAGAAGGTGGCATGGGGATGCTTGGGTTGCATGAAGGAGGAGACATCCCCCATCCAGATGTGGAGCTGCCACTCAAAAAGAATTGGGGGCGTTCTCCCTCTGTTCAATAAGGGGCCCTCACAGCAAAGCCTCTGTTCCCCTCCAGAGCCTGGCCAGGTGGCAGGATTTGGTGTTGGTCCTCCTCCTGGCCAAAGCATCCGGGGGTCTCTCTCCCCCCTCCCCTGTTCCCAGGCTGGAAAAGGCTTCTGCAGAACGCCTGCAGCCCTTGATGCAATCCCTAGTCACTGGGGGTTTATGCCTCTCGTGGGAATAAAGCTGGGGGGTCTTTCAGCTCGGTAGCTGGGCCTCCCCTCTCACACACTGCGAAGCCCGCTTGCGCCTTGTGCCCTGTGGGAGCCTGCGCAAGTCCGACCGGTCCCAAGTGCCAGTCTCACCTTGGCCACTAATCCAGGGACCCAAATCCACTTCAGGGAAGGGACTCGGACGTATCTTAGGAGCTGCCCCCTCCCCGTGTCTCAAAAGGGATCCAGCCAGATCCAGGGGATTTTCGGGGAATCTAAGGAAGCCTTTCAGTCAAAGATTTGATTGGCAAAGAGATCAGATTTCAGAGCGACGTTTTTGTGTTACGGAACAAAAGGTGATAATGAAACACTTCCATTAAGAAGAGAAATAAAATGGATATTGTTGCTAAACAACTTAATTCCCGAAGGATTAAATGAAGGTATTCAATATTTACCATTGATTTGATTCTTGCTTTTTCCTTTGTTGTTTCCTGAAGTCTTTGCCACAAGGATATTTTTGCTCGAAGCTTATTATTCTATTCAGCCAGATACATTGGTTAGTTTCTTTTTTTAAAAAAAAACAACAACTAACATTAGAAATAATGTTCTTTTTCGAACGGAGCTTTCTGGTGGACTTCTAACCATTAAGTTTAATCTGTTTTTCTGTGGCTTTATGAATAATTAAAGGGAAAAAGAGCATGGAGGCGTTTTTTGATCGACCTGTTAGAGAATTTGTGAGTTTATCTGATTTTCAGCCTGAAACAGTCGAAAGGGATAAGGAAGAAGATGTTTCTAAAACACAGAGTTCATTAGCTTAGCCGTTTCCTTTCTAAAAGTGGACACTTTTTTTCATTTCTGCAAATGGCGGTTCTCTAGATTAGCTGCAGGTTATCTGATAATATCTGTTCAAGGATAAAAATAAGTACTCCTCCGCCTAAGGTGTCTGTCATTTGAAAACGGGCCTCCTTAGATGTGGAGGCAGGTGCTGCATAATGCAGGATGTTAGTCATGCCTCATTTCTGACATGCAGCTTTTAACGGGATAAAACGGTTCACGGTGAGCCGCTTTAGGTGGCTCTGTTTTACAGCGGCCGTTCTGGAAGAGAGAACCGAGAATCGAAGATGCAGAATGGGCCACTTAACCCTGGGAATCCCACGAGGAAAACTGTCTTCCCTGCAGCCCGCCTGGGGAATGTGCCAGCCCCGGTTTGGCAGTGCTCCCGAGCCACAATTCATCCCAAAATTTCTGTTGCTAAGCAAGATGGTTGTTGTGAGTTTTGTCCCACTTTAAGACCTTTCTTATCACGGTTGTTAAGTGAATCCGGTCTCCTCATTGACTTTGCTTGTCAGGAGGATCCCATGTCCCCCCGGGACGCTGTGGCCGTCATAAATATGAGCCCAAATTTTGATCACGTGACCCTGGGAACGCTGCAACGGCCGTAAGTGTGACAAACGGTCCTAAGTCACTTTTTTTCAGGGCTGTCATAACTTTGAATGGTCACTAAATGAACAGTTGTAAGTCAAGGACTACCTTATTCTCCTTTTCCTGTTTTGTCCCCTTGCTTTACCGGTTGGATTTCTGCTTGCCAGGCTGCTGCTGCGAAGGGCGAGGCAGGAGCCCTGGAAGGGAAGGGGGGCCCCCACCCTCTTTAGAAGGGGAAGCGCGCAAGGCAAGAAATTAACCAGCGTTTATGCAGATAATCTGTATTGGCAATTACGGCAATTAGATCAGGTAGCTAATTGCTACCTCGGCGGGCCTCGTTTTGTTTTGTCTCGGCGGAGCAGAGGGGAAGAGCCAAAGGTGGCTGCACCCGAGACAGGCGCCGGGAGCACAGGGGCGACTCTGGGTGCCCTCCAGCCAGGGGGGTCAGGTCTGGGGCCGGGTGATGGTGAGCGATCCACGGCTGTTCCTCCAGCCCCTCGGCCCCGTCCCCGAGCCTGGCTGGGCCCAGCTGCCTCCCTTCTGCTAGATTTGGCCAACTGGGCTTAACCCGAGGGGGGGAAATCCTTCCAAGGGCACCCCAGTTGGCAAAGCTCATTTATGGCCCAAGAGTGCAAATTTAGAAATAGTTTTAGGGCAAAGGGTCAGCTTGTTCTCCCAGAGTGGGTGAACAGAATGGTGCAGTCCTGGTTTTTAAATTTGGGAGTGGATCCTGGTCACACCATACTTTACCATCGCTAGCATATAACTATAGCAACCCTGATTCTGCTCTAGCCACTTCCCCCAAGGGACCATCCCTACACACTTCAACACTGGTTGACTGAGGGGAGCAAAGGAAGAAGCCTACAAGCAGAGGGGTGAAGGTCAGAGTCCCTACGGCTCCACTGTGACCCCAGGGCTGCCAGCAGCTGCCCACCCGGGAGGCCAGGTTTGCACCAGTAAAGGGCCTGGCCGTCTGGGTGCCCCCTCTGTGACAGCTTCTCTTCCTTCCCTCCGATTCCCATCGGCCCAGCTCCTACCCCAATTTCTTAGCTCTTCTGGGAGGGGGGTGTCGGCAGCAGCCTTGGAAAAGGCTTGTGAAAGGCCAGGAGGAAGAATTAGCACCTGTGCCTCATTAGCGGCACAGTAATTAGCTCCCTTGACGGGTGCCAGAAAGAAGCCGCCAAGATGCCCAGAAACCAAAAGGCAGGGCAGGAGTCCAGTGGCACCATATGCCCAAGGTCTGGGCATCGCTGGCAAAGGCCTTCCGGGTCTAGCCGTAGACCAGGGGTCTGCCTGTGCTGGCTGGAGAGGGTCCACCAGAAGCAACGACTCGGCGGTCTGGCTGGAGGGGATGCCAAGACGGGGATGCCCAGCCTTGCTGGCATGAGCTGCAAGTGGCTGGCATCGTTTAGTCCAGGTGCCCCAAAGCCTCAGACTTCGGAAGTGGTGCAGAATTCTTCCCCTATCTTGGGAAATGCTTATTAGTGCATAAAAGTTATTTCACGGTGTGCATTAGTGTGTGTGAGAGAGATGCACCAACAACTCGTATAATTGCTACTTCCCAGTTTGCGTCTTCCCCTTGGAAGACCTGAACGGGCAAATGAGGGGCCTCTAATCCAGAGAGCACAACTGCATGTGAACACGGCTGAGTGTTTTGAACTGACAGGAGGAAAGCTGTGACGGATAGAGAGATGTTGAAGAGTGGCGCAGAAATGAAAGCTGTATGTACTTCTGAAAAAAAAAAAAAAGACGACGAAAACACCAAGACTGTGGAAAAATGGCCACAAATGTTGGGAGTGGATCAGGCAATTGCAGAAATGTTAAAAGCTGGAGGTGTTGTGCCTGCAAGGGGGCCTGCCATTTATTTATTTAAAGTGTTGTGAAAAACTGACAACTGGGAGACTGCTCTTTATTGTTTCCTGTGTGAAGAAGAAGTTAGCAAGAACGGAGGCAACAACTGCAGGTCAATTAATTTGTTAAGTGTGCCTGGAAACGTGCCGGGTGGGAAGGTGGTGAGAGGTGACGTGTGGGAGAATTTTGAACATTCAGGAGCGCAAGGCGACTTTGTGCCAGGCAGGGTGGATGTTGGCTGTTCTGCCCATCACTGAGAAGGGGAGGAATGCGACCTTCCATTGTACATTTGTGGGTTGCAAAAAGAAAGAAAGAAAAAAGGAAGGTTAAAGTAAATAGGCTTGAATTCCAGCACGCTTTGCACAAGGAGTTGAAGGTCAGTTGCTGAATGCAGAGAGTGGCGTGCAAAAAGAGGAAAGCTCAGAGGCTGTTTGAGTGTGGTGCAGAGAGGAGGACGTGTGTGATATTCTGTTGGCTGCTAAATTTAGAAATAAATACCTAAGGAACGCTTGTGGTGGCTGGCAGGGCTTGGTGTGCATTTATATGCAGATGTTGCCGCTGCTCGGCTGAGAAAACCGGAGTGATTTTCAGCCAATGTTAGCTTGTGCGAAGCAGCGAGGGGTCTGGCCTGAAAATTGATATATCTGAGACCGAGGTAATTGGGTTTTGACAAGGAAAATGGAGTGAAGGATTGCAGTTTATCCATAAGTGCCAAGAAGCCAGGATGGCAGGTGAATATTGGTGCCTTCGTAAAATGTTTACTAAAGACAGGGAAAGGGGAAGCGGAGGATGGCTGGTCTGTAAGGAACACTTCTTGGAAAAACCGAAAGAGGCGATATGGAAGAGATAGGGTCAAGAATGGATGCAAGCAGTCCTCCATTTATGACCACACTCGAGCCCAAATTTCCGTGGAATGGAGAATGAGTTTTGCCCCGTTTTCCTTGCCCCCATTGTGAAGTGAATCACGACAGCTGGTTAAGTTAGTAACACGGTTGTGAAGTAAGCCTGGCTTGCCCATTGACTCTGCTCGCTAGTACCTTGAGGACTAGCCGCATTGAAGAGGAAGATAAGAAAGTCCTGGCTGAAGGGAGACTCCCAGATGCTCTTGCGTGGAACAGAAGAAATGAAGGATGTTTGCAAGAAGCAGACAGCACGAAGAGGGTGGCCCAAACCCCCCCCCGTGTTCTTACCTCACACCTCTTCTCTCTCTCCCCGTCCCTCCAATTCCTTGGCATGATAGGTGGGCAGGTGGAGGGATGGGTGATGGAGTCCTCCTCCTGCAGAATTTGGGGGTGCAGTTGGCCCAAGGCAAGCTTCAGCACTGGCCCCCCAGCCCGCCTGCACCCCACAAAGACAATCGACTTCTCAGGCAAACAGGTATCCTACACGGGAAAAAAGCTTGAATAAAATAGCTAAATAAATCTTTAATATTTTTCTAATTGCAAATGTACATAAATGGCACACACACATCATGGTTCTTTGCTCCGGATACGAACTACGTTCTCTGTACATTGTTCGACAGCAAAACTGAAGGAAACGACTCGGCAAGTCCTGCCGCTCGGCTTCATATTATTATTATTATTCATTATTAATTTATTAAACATACTTACAAAAATTATTTTATTATTGTCATTTTTTTGCTTGGTTTCTTTTAGAAGAGGCTATAAAACACGGAGACTGGTTTGAACAGGGAGCAAGAGGGACCCAGGGTGCCTGTGGGCACCAGAGAGGTATATATGAAGACACAGTGCTGCTGTCCAGGAGGGAAAAGGGAAAGGAGACCACATGGAGATTTTTTTTCACATAGCGGGTGCCAAACCACAGAGCAACTTCAGGGAGTCCCCTTTGGTTGAAAGATCACCATCCTTCCCCAACAGATGACCCCCCCACCCACCCCAGGGTTTTGGTGAACACTTTCATCTCCCATCTTCTAGGTAGGGGCCCCTTCCCCGGGGCCACGCAGACCCTCGTGGCATGGTCTGGCAAGTGGTGGAGAAGGAGGGCCGGATGGGAAAACACACCAGCAGCTGCTTTTCCTTTGCCCACCTTCTGCACCCCGATGCCCAGCTGGGTGGCCTGGCCTGCCAGGGGGAGAGCTGGGCTGCTTTGCTCTGGGGTCAAGCCAAATCCCTCCAGCCTCTCGTGCTGGACAGAGAGCACTGCCAGGGAGCTGGGTGGGGGCCTGTGGCTTGCCCTCCAATCCTGATGAGGGCTCTGATGGGGGGGGGGATGCTGGGCAAAACGCTCTCCCTGCCCAAACAGCTTGAAAGCCAAAGGGGCTGAACCCCTCGGTTAGATCAGGTCAAGGTTGAGGGTTCAACTAACCACAGCCACCCAAGCAGCACGTGCACATCATCCCAAGAGCAATTCAGCGGATTTTTACCCACTGGGTCTCACCCAGAAAGCCAGGTGTGCATTTGGGGTGAACCCAGGGCCTCTGGTTCCTTTGCATTGTGGGTTACCATTGTGGGGGGGGGTGGCTCCCCCAAAGGGCCTTCAGCTCAGCCACTGGGAACTTGGTGCTGTTCCACCGAGCAGGCCTGGCCCGAGTGTCAAATTCGGAAAGGATCCCGCATTGGAAAAAAATACCTTTGCCTTTTTTGGTATCAACTTTTTTTCCTCCAGAATTTAGCAGGACCACAAAGCTCACTTCAAAAACAAGCAACAGGAACTGGACCCCCAGACGAAGTGGAACCATCCATATTTGGGGGTTTCCAAGGCTTCTCCCTGCGTGGCTGCAACATGATGCTGAACTCCTCAAAGCAGCCGCTCTGATATTGTCAGGCAAAAATAAAAAAATGGCACATCATATTCGATACTCGAAAACATCTTTCTCCATTTTACAAAGAGAACCTGTACAACTTCTAAAGATCAGTGTAATATAAGGATTAGTTGTAAAAATGAAAATCTTACAGATCGTAACAAGTTCATATGGCAGAAAGTTCAAGAACAGAGAAAATGGGGTTCGCACCCCCACGGAAACAAAACGGCAGCAGCGCCCCTGTGCAAGCCATTTGGAGAACGGAGCTGGGGTGTCCTTCCACCCATGCAGGCTTGAGGGGTGACGAAATGAGGGATCAGACAAAAGGGTCGAGGCCATCTGGCTGAGCCCCAAGAGGCTGGACGGCACAGGGGACCCTCCTGGCATCTTAGGCCTCTGGTGGGCGAGGCGAGAGGGCTTACTGACAGCAGCTTCCAGCATTTGTGACATGGCGTTTGGCAAATGTTCCCAGCAGGACCAAGGACAGCGCAGTTAGTCACTTACTTAAGGTACGGCTGGCTGGGAAGGGCTTCTGGTTAATGCCCCTCTCAAAGGGAGGATTGGCTGACCCAACAGCTATGGCTCTAGGGTGGCAAGGGGGCTGCCCCCCAAGACCCCAGGGAGTGGTTGGCAAGGAAAAGCGGTTGGTCCCCTGCTGCTTTGTCCAGGCTAAGACCCTCCTGAGCACCATGGCTGAGGAAATCTGTGCTCCATTTTGCATGCCCCCTCCTTGGTGATGGGCACCCACCCCACAGATGGCCCCTGTGGCACTGGGGGGCAAGGAACTACTACTTGGAGGCCTCCGGTGGTGCCACGGATCTTCCTTCGCCCCAGAGAGAGAGAGAGAGAGAGAGAGAGAGAGAGAGAAAGTGGGGTGCAGAAAAGCAGCATGGTTGTCTGCGAATGTTCGAGCCCAGGTGGGATCACAAGGTGGGGGTGTTGTCAGTATTAAACTCGGGGTCTTCTGGGAAAGGACCCGGGGCCAGAGTTTGCACGCAGCCAAGTCGGATGGTGGCAGAGAAGCACTTGGAGCAAGAGGGGTTCAGCGTCCGGCTTCTTTCGCCTTCCTCCGTGGCTGCTGCCTCCTACACACCTCGCGTGCCCCCCGTCTCACAACGTACCGCACTGCCAAGGCACGCCACGGACCCACCGGCCCGGCTAGGAGTGCCCAGCGGTTCAGATTAGGGGAGGGGGCTGCGTCCTCGCTCAGTTACTCTCTTTTGTGCGGCCTCTTCGAGGTGGCAAGCTTCCCACGCAGCACCCACACCCCCTGAAAAGAGGAGAGACTCCAGAAAGGTCTGCTTTGGGCTTTGGGCTGTTTTATTCCTAACGCAGACTGTGGAAGAAAAAAGAAAGGGAGTTACCGCTCTTCGTACGCGAGGGAGGCTGACATTTTTCCTCCTCTGGTGTTTCTCTGGCAGCCATCATGCAGGGTCCTGCCATGCACGTTGCTGGAGAAACGGGGCTGCTAAGCAGGCCGGCCGCTGGGCATCCGTAATGCCCCTCCCCGGCCAGTTGGATCCCACTTGGGACAAGAGGCCCCGCCAAGCAGAAATCCCACTTGTGAGCAGGTTTCTGTAAAGTGGGGGGTCCTCCCTATCTGGGATGGCAGCTCCCTCAGTCCTAGGAGATCGAGGGGGAGCCATTCTCTAACTCTGCCCCCCCCCCCGAAGGGCCAGGTTGGAAAAGGCTGGCAAAGAGGTTGTTGTCCTCCTTTTGAGACACGGGCAGAGATGTGGCTGCCTCGGCATCCCCAACACATTATTGCACTGTGCCCTGGTGTGGGTTTGTTTCTTGGGCTTAAGAGTTTGATTGAGTAACAGGAAACTTCTTTTTTCATTATTATTGTTTGGCACAACAAAACAGCCTTTCGGCCCTTTTTCCCTGGGCTTCTGCAGGACTCTGAAGCTGCCCCAGGTGGGTTCTCATCTTTGCTGCTTGGGAAGGGCTGGGCGGGGGGGGGGGCTTCTGCAGCTTTCACCTCCTTTTCACACATTTTGGGTCTGTCCTTCCTAAAGAGGACCAGCTGCCAAACCGGGGCTTCTGCCACTGAACTCCTTGGCTGCATTTGCAGAATACGGCATGCAAAACCTGTCCCTAGAGGGAAGATCATTGGCTTCGCAGCCGGCTGCAGCAGACCGATGCCAGCTTCTGCCCTTCCCCCTTCATTTTTGGCCTTTTCTCCAGCCCTGGGAGGGGGGTGGAAATGGTTGGGGGCCTAAGCACTGGAAGAGGGGGTTCGTGCTGATAAGGGTGGATCCCCAAATTAACTTCACTGAGGGAGGAACATCTTTAAACTGAGTTTGAACTTCTTGCCTGGGGTTGAGGTTTTCTGACTAGCGCCCCTTCTTCAGGGACTCACACAGAGATGCACTTAACCCCTCTGCAGAGACTCCCTTGGCCAGTGATGAAGCCCCTGAGCTGCCCCAATTCCGTCCCCTGGTGAGGTCTGCTGGGGCCGGCAGGAGGTGCCACGAAGGAGGAGGAGGAGGCCCCGGCACCGAGCGGGCAGGGTGCTGGCAGTGCCAGGCGGTACGACAGCGCCGGGTGTGTCAGAAGTCTCTCAGCATCCCTGGAAGTGACCCGGCTTGGCTGCCGAAGCTTCTTCTTTGGACACCTGCTCAGCTCCTGCTCCGTCAGAGGCGTCTGCGCTCTCAGCTCCGTCCCTGGCCAGGGGCCGCTGGCGAGGAGGGCTCGGGGTCCACTCGGCTTTGCCCGCTGGAGGAGGAGGGCCGGGGGAGGGCCCAGCCCATGCCAGGTAGCTCACCCGCCCTGGGTGCTGGGCTTGGCCGGGCTCTCCTCTCGTTCACTCGCTCGCTCGCACACCCGCAGCAGCCGGTCCCGGGGTCAACAGCTGCTGCTGTTCCGGAATTCACCGCTCTCGGTGATCTGCAATTTAGTCGGGTTGGTGGGGGAAATCCCGTTGCGGGTTTGCGTGCTGTACCTCTCTTTCAGCTGCGTGAGGGCGCTCATGAGCCGGGCGTTGGCCGCGTCCAAGGAGGCGATGCGTTTCTCCTGGGTGGCCAAAGGGGACACGGACGGTCGGTCAGTGCAAAGGGAGCCCCGCCCTGCCTGCCCCTTTCCTCCCTGGGCCAGATTTTCCCAGCGGAAGCATTTTTGTGTCTGGGACAGGAAGCGGTTTAACTTTCAGCTGAATTCAGAGCAGACAACAGCCCCGTCTGTCAGGGGCAGCTTCTCCCAACCTTTGGGGCTTCAAGGAGAGTGGACTTCAACTCCCAGAATACCAGCATGCCAGCTAGGGAGTTCTGGGAGTTGAAGTCCAGCCATGCTGGCTGTGGAATAGCGGAGTCCCCATGGCTCAAAGTCACCAAGGCAGAGAAAGGCTAGGAGGAGAGTTCGAATTTGGGGCAATTTTCTTCCTCTTTTCTAGGCTTTTCAGCCCCAGACATTTTTGTTTTCCATGAAGGCGCCGGGTTATTGATCTGCAGCAAAGTAGCTTCTTCTTTCCGCCTCTCCCTCCCCCCCCCCGCATGACATTATTTTGAGAGGGAGGCTCCCCCAGGAAGGTGGTTGTCCTCCAGCCTCGCCTCGGGCGGCTGATGAGGACCTCCTGGCTGTCTCTGCTTCCCGGCCCTGAATCGATTGAGCCGGTGGACTAATTAGCAGATGAGCGGGGGGGGGGGGGGCTCTTGCTGAGGCCAGCAGCGTCTCTGATTGCCTCTAATGGGTCGGGGCTGCGGAGAAGGAGCTGGGCAAATCCCTGGAGCTGCTCAGGTAACCCACCCCTCCCAGCAGCCTCACTCTGCCTGGGTGCCGGGGGGGGGGGGCTGGGCTGGCAAGGCTCCACCTGACGGGGTGAAATAAGACGCCAGGCGGCTTCTTAGGGTGGCCTTCTCCCTGGTGGGGAGAGGGACCCCTGTGGTGGAAGATGGCAGAGAGTTAGTTGTGTGTGTGTGTGTGTGTTTGTGTGTGTGTGTGTGTGCCTTTCCCAAGGTGCCAAGAGGCAGCTCAGCCTGGAATTCTTGGTGGGCAGGAAGAGAGCCAGGGCCTCCCTAATCGTTCTCATTTGAGAGTAATGCAGAGTTGTGCTTTACTAGGGGAAGATTCTTGTCTATCACCAATAAATTCTCGGTTCCCTGCACCTAACCCCTACCCCGTTCCCCCCCCGTCCCTCCCCCAAAATGCGGCTGGGAGAGAGGGAGGTCCCACCTGGGCGTCGATGATCTTCTGCTTTGAATCCACAGCCGCCTGCATTTCCGAGTGGTCCTTCTTGAGCTCCTCCTCCACCGACATCAGCCTGGGGGTGGGAAAGGGGGTCTCCTCTCAACGGTGCAGCTTTTCTCCCCTTCTTCCCCCCCCCCGGCCCTCCATTTTTGGACAGCCTCCCTTCGGTAAAGGAATTCTGTCTGCGCACCCATTTCTAAATGCCAGCATGGGCTATGCCAGTCGGAATGTGCCCCCTGGAGGAATCCCTGGAGGCTAACTTGTCCCTCCCCCATCCTTACCTGCTGATGATCCCCTTCATTTGTATTTCCTTGTCTTCCTGCTGCCGCCGCAGCCGTTCCTCGCTCTCCTCCAGCCGGGCTTGGTACTCCAGCACCAGCTTCTGCGTGCCCTCCTCCTGGCACCGGAACCGCACCTCGTACTCCTCCAGCTTCTTGGAAGATTGGCGCAGCTTGTCCTGCAGCACCGCCACGTCTTGCTGATACTGGGGAGGGGGCCAGAGGGGAGGGGTGAATGGCAGGGCTGCACCAGCCCAGCAGCATCTCTGTGGCCCCCACCCACCCTCTCTCTGAAAGCAGGGAGGGGTCTAGCAAACCATCAGTGGTAGAAGGGAAGGCAAGACCCCCACTCCCTCCTAGCACTGATGATGTTACCTAGTTGGGTAAAGAAACGTCTGGAAGAAAACCACCCAGCTCAGAGAGCACCCAGGAGCCCTCAGTTCAACCCTGAACGACAAAGATTCTCCTTTATTGGACTTTTAATGCCATGCCCAGGCTTGGTGCGGCACCCCTGGCAGAATGGGGTGAGCAGGGCGGGCGAGAGGGAAGGGCAGAAGGGGCGAAGGAAGTGGGAGGGGGTGGAGGAAGTCCAACCGCTGCATTCCCCCCCCCGAGCAAGTTCAGGGCCTTCAGACCGAGCGCTTCTCCCTCTTCCCGAGCCAAAACCTGCCCCCCCCCCGTTACCTTTTCCTCCTGGCTGAGCTCATCTTTGCTCCTGAGCTTGCATTCCGGCTCGGCGTTCTCCTCTTCCAAAAACTGCACATTCATGTTCAAGAGCCAGGCGGCCGTGCGGTCCAGCGCATTGGGGTTCACCGGAGAAGGGGCCTGCAAGGAAGGGGCCACGTGGCGAAACGGGGGAATAAGGCGGAGCTGAAGTGGACACGGAGGGTTGACAAGGGCCCCCGCGTCCCAAGGGTTCCAGCTAGGGAGGTGGGCATCTCACCAGAGCTTCAGCTGCACCCGAAGGCTTTGCTTTAGCTACCGCAGAGACCCCACCCCCAGTTGTTCTGTTGGGGAGTCTTTTTAATATGTGACAATTAGGGGGGGGGAAATCAGCCACAGGTGGGCGGCTTTCTTGGAGGTGAAGCTAAGAGCCCCCATAAGACATGCAGATTGCAAGCCTTCCCACCAAGGGGTAGAAATGGGAGTGGGACGTCGGCTTGGAGAAGACCCCAGGCCGCAGAGCAGCCATTATGGGGCAGAAAAGCCGAGCCCGGCCCTTAATTGACTTTCACACAGAGACAGACGGGGATGAACAAGCAGCTCTAAGATTTATGGCGTTAACTGAGCTGCTGGGGGGGGGCAGCAGCTCAGGTCCCCCACTGTGGTCTCAAGACTGGTGACAGATGTGGCTCCTCCTGAATGGGCAGCAGATGGAGGTCCCAAATGGGCATCCTCTGTGCTGGATGAGCGCCGGGCAGAGCAAAAGGGCCAGTGAGGTCAACATGGGCAGCAGAGACCCAGGAGACGGGGGACCACCCCCTTGGAGAAGCAAGTGCCCCTCAGAGGGGCTGCATGGGACTCATTGCCTGGCTCACCTCCTGCCCCACTCACCTGCTTGTGCATGGTGCGCTGTTTCATTTCGGGGCTGTCTCCCTTAGAGGAGGAGGACTGTTGGCGCAGGCGGGCACCGCTGCCCGGCCAGTCGGGTGAGGAGGAAAGCAGGCCCCCGCTGGCCGGCCTGGGGTACTGCAGGGTGCTCAGCAAGGAGGGAGGGGTCCTGCCCCGAGTGATAGGCGGGGGAGGGGGTGGGGGTGGGGGCTGGTCTATCCGCCGCTGGGGGCCACCGCTGTTCTGCCGGGGCATCGTGGGTTGCCCGCCCTTCTCAGAGACTGAGAGCTGCCGGCGAGCCAGCTCTCCGGCACGCCGGGCAAAGTCCTCTGGGACGGTGGGGTTGCTGAACCCGTGCTTGGTGGCTGCCGCCAAGTCTTCGCTGTTGCTGTGGGAGCTGAGCGAGCTGTGGCCCTCGGAGCCCGAGTCGGCCAGTCCCCGGGGGGAGAGTGGCAAGCCCGCCGCCATCTGGTAGACGGGGTTCTGGAAGGATAGGGGGGCCAGCAGCTGAGGCCGGCCAGGGGCGTTCTCCGCGTTGGGGGTGGTGGGCGTCTGTGCGGAACGGCGCACGGTGGCAGTGCCTGTTAGGCCACTTTGTTGAGTCCGCGTGCCCCAGGCCTGCCCGGCAGAGGGGTGGCTCTCAGGGAGCGCTTCGGCGGCCCCCAGCCCACCGCCCCCTCCGTCCAAAAGGCGATTGTCCTGCAAGTCCACCATGGAGAGGCTCTTGCTGCCATTGGCCATCTGGACGTCGGGCTCATTGGCCTCCGAGTAGCTGGAGCTCCGGGCGGGCGACGGCTGAGCCCCCACAGACCTTGTGACAAAAAACAAGTCCTTGTTTTCAGGGGTTGGAGACGGTAACCGTGTGAAATCTATCAGACTGTGGGGGAAATAAAAATGCATAAGGAGAAGAGGAAGGAGGAGGAGGAAGAGAAGAAGAAGACGACGACAACGGAGAAGAAGAAAAGGAGGAACGGCAGCAAGACAGAGAGAGAAACGCGCTATGCAGAGGACAGCAAGCAGGTAAGCAAGCATCACATCCGCCATGCTCAGGTGAAGAACATGCTGCTGGGAACCCACCCCGGAGAGCTCTGCGCCCTCAAGGACCCTCGCCCACCATTATTCCCTGTCCTCTGAGCCTCCATGTGGGTGCAGAGGCCACCAGCAGTGGGGCATCACCAAGTGCCATGCGGGGCCAGTGTCTCCCTGTCCCGGGGGTGTGTGTTTGGCCTGTGCAATCAAACTTTGCCTCCCCCCACAGCCACTCAGCCTTCTATCCCCCCTTCCACCTCCCCCCTCCCACTTCAGGATCTCCAGAGCGCACGGGAGTCTCGCCAGTACCAGGACCGCCTCCCCTGCGAACCCTGCCCGGCTTCCACAGCCAGACCAGCCTGCCCAGTCTCCTCTCGGCCCCTCGGCTTGCTCTTACCCAGACAGGTCACTCTCAATGACCATCTTCTGGAGCCCGACAGAGATGCCGTTGCCAGCGTTTGGGGTGGAGGTGGCAGGATCGCTCGTGACAGAGACCTGCACGCAGGACGGGTTGCTCAGAGCGGCGTTGACGTCCCTGAGCAGGCGTGACAAGGGGCCCAGTTTGGTGGCCGTGTTCTGCAAGGGAGGAAACCATGAGACCCTCGGGCTCCTCTTACTGAGGCACTTTCACCTAGGAAACGTCGGACGTGGAAAGCCGCCTCCCTCCATTCTATCCAGGGCACTGCATGACAAAACTAGACACAGAGAGAGTTTTTTCCCTCCTGCCATCCCTCTGCTGAACAGCGAAGTCTCCTGCCTATTTGCCCATGTTCTACAGCTGCAGTATTGCTATTTTCCTGCTTATCTTCTCTACTGCTCGGTCTTACTGATATGATGGTGATGGTGGTGGTGGTGTTGGTGATGATTACCTGATCCAGCTGGGCCACCACCTCCCAGAGCAGGGAGTGCAGCGTGGCCAGCTCTCGGCCCAGGTCGATGTAGCCCTCGAAGCCGGCCGTGTTGGAGAGGGTCTCGGGGTTGGAGATCTCCAGGAGGAAGCGCTGCATGTTGGTCCACTCGTGCTCCAGAAACTGGTTCATGAAGTACATGTACTCTTCCTTGCTCCCAAACCTGTGAGCCCAGAGTCAGAACACGGCTCAGGCCTGGCAAGAGAGCTTCCCTCTCCAAGCTGACCAAGCCAGAGGCAGGTGGGCACTTGAAGGAGCAGGGAAGATGCACCGTCAAAGGGGAACCTGGGCCAGGCAGGCCAGTGTGTGTGTGTGTGTGTGTGTGTGTGTGTGTGTGTGTGGTGTGTGTGTGTGTGTGTGTGTGTGTGAGAGAGAGAGAGAGAGAGAGAGAGAGAGAGAGAGAGAGAGAAAGAGCTGCAGGCTCCCCGCTCAGGACGCTGGGACAACCCTCTTCCTCCTTCATCCACAGGACCCTCGGGCTGGAAATTCAGGGGGCACAAGGGGGCCAGGGGTCAAAGCCAAAGGCTGATCTCAGCCAGGAAGTGAGTGGACACTGCCAGGCAGTGCCACACGGAGCCCTGCCCTGAATTTAGGAGGTTGCATCAGTACAGTTTTTCTTTCTTTTTCTCTCTTTCTCTCTCTTTCTTTTCTTTTAGGATAAGCAGCTCAGAACTAGCCAGGAAAGCCAGTGGAGCAATATCACAAAATATTTTCTCTCTTTTCCAGGAAAGCTCTAGGCTGGCAGCGCAACTAGGATCTGTGTTCCCCCCCCACCCCAGAACTGATTATCTCGCTTTCAGAAGCTTTAAAAAATTCATAATGGGCAGAGAAGTGAGTGTGCCTAGTGGGGAGGGAGAAGGTTCTTCCCTTTTAGACCACACTTTCCATTGGAAACGATGAGGGGGGGGGAGAATCAAAGGCATCTGCTTGGGAATCAATGACCTTTCCCCCCCCCCAAATCAGCTGGTCAACCCAGAGGAGCCTTACTTGGCAAAATTGGCCAGATTCTGGGTGACCTTGGCGATGAGGGTCAGTGTCCGGGCAGTGCGGTCGTCTGGGTACTCCTGGAGCAGGTTGAAGAGGGAGGGCGACATGATGGCTGGGCAGAGGAAGCGGAGGAAGAGGGAGGCGCTGATCAGGCGCTCGCTGATGTCCGGCCGGCCGCGACTGCTGCACTCCTGGCGCCACGAGGCGAAGACCTCCTTCAGCTCCCGAGGGAAGACGCTGCGGAGAGAGAGAGGGAGGCTGATTCCAGAGGGGCTTCGTGGGAGGAATGGCTGCCCCGGGGGATGCAGGCACGGTCCACCTTCCCTTTCTGGGCGTTAGGGCCCGGGCACCTGGAGGACAACCGAGGGCACTGGCATCTCCCCTGAAAGAAAGCTAAGCCACACAGCGTAGGAATTCTGGGAGTTGAAGTCCACAAGTCTTAAAGTGGCCAAGTATGGCTGGCCCAGAGGCTGCCGGCTCTCCCAAGAGCCTGCGCTCCTGCGTCTCACCACTGCTCTGCCAGCTGGGCACAGGAGAAGCCGCTGACAGCCCAAGAGCAGCCAGGCTGAGTTTCCTGCTCACTTCGCCACCTCCTGCCTGCTCTGCCTTCCTCTCCTCCCCATCTGTGGCCACGCTGCTTCTCTCAGGAAAGGAAATGCAGCACGCAGCCTCGGGGCACGGACAGAGCAACCCTCCCTGGGACGCCGCCTGCCCTCCAACTTCCTTGGCACAAACCCCCGACTGTGTCTCCCCACTCCCTCCCCCCGCAAACTCTGGCAGCGCCACCCACCCACCCACCCACCCACCCACCAGTACGAGTTGATGATCTTGCAGAAGGCCAGCTCGCAGCACATCTTCAGGTTGCTCTGGTGTTCCAGGAGATCCGAGGAGGAGCACTTGCTGGGATCCACCTCACAGTTTTCGTCCGACTCGTACAGCGCCTTGATGAACTCGCCTGCGGGCGTGGGGAGGAGAAAAACGGAACCCAGTGAAGCCCCAGACTCTGGGGGAGCCCAAGGAAAGAAAGTTAAGGGGCTTCTGGAGGAAGCCAGCTTGGTTTCCTCCCCTCCACCTTGGGGCAAATCAAGTTACTGGTCCTCATGACTGCCAATCTGGAGAATAGGGGAGTGGTATAGAGACGCTGCAGAGCTCCTTCCAGTGACACGTCCCCCATGCAAAAGCCCCAAACCACACGGCTCCATTTCATGGGTTACGTGCTGCCCCCGCCTGCTCTTGCCCCCCCCCCAGAAATCAGCTTTGCTGTCTCAGCCTAGAGTGAGCAGATCACAAGGAAGACAAGCCAGAAGCCGTGCAGAAAAACAGCCCAAGCTGCGGCCTCAAAGCTTGGGGAAGCCCCTCTGGTGGAGGGGGAGGGGCCTGCCTTACCTAAGGCGTCCTGCAGGTACTTCTGGCCCACCAGCTTCAGGTACTCCTCGATGGCCTTGGTGGCCAGGGTGTTTTCTCGGAAGATCAGGTGCTCATTCTCCCCGCAGCGGTCAACCTCCGACATCATGAGGTCTGTCAGGAAGTCCTGGGAAGAAAAGGGTCCGTTGGGGGAGGGGGAGGGTTTGGCACGGGGGGGGGCACTGCCTATCCCCCCATCTCTCCCTCCCCCCCACCTGAAGGGCCTCTACATCAATGGGCTTCAAGTTGGTTTAACTTCTTTTCTGCAGCCCTTGAATTCCTTTCCCTTCCCGGCCCGTTTCGTCCACAATCCTGGTTGGGCTCCCTTGGTGGGTCTGGGGTGGGGTCTAGAAGGATCACTTCACTGCTGAAAGGATGTGCTACTCCGGCCCCTTTAAGGCGGCCGCCTCCGGCTTCTGTCTCAACTGCAGAGCTCGGCTGAGTCATTTTGGCCGGGCTGGGAAGCTGCCCTCCTCCTCTGGGGCTGAAGGCACATTGGAAGCGCTTGGAAAGATTATTTTGAAGAACCCCTTTCCCCCCCCTGGGGAGCCTTTTTTCTCTGCCTCTCCTCTCCTTCACCTGCTCCTCCCCAAGTAATACTGCAGGGACTGGGGGGGGGGCTCACAGCAACACTTTCCCCCTTGGGGGCTCTGAGCTTTGCAGAGTCGGCAGCTTTTATGAGCAGCAGAGCTATTAGGACCAAGATGGGTTATGAGCCCTGGAAGCGGCAGGCAGAGTGCGTGGCGGGCTGGCGGCAGCTGCAGCTTCACCCCCCTGCCCTCGCACCCCCCCAGGCTGTCTGTTTCCCTGCTTCAGCAAATGCCAGCCATCTCCCCTAGATGCCCAAGCCTCCCAAGACAGGGGGTAGCAGGACCCCTCCCCAAGGCTCGGTGGGGTAGATCCGACACCCGGGATCCTCCTGATGGGCGTAGGGTAGATAAGGAACCCTAGCACTGTGTGGAACTCCAGTGCCCATCTGCCTAGTCCGTGTATTGGCTCCAGTAGGTTAATAAGTCAAGCTCTCCCCTTGAGGCCATTTGGAGCCCCCATATGCTAAGGCAGTCTATCTGAGTAGCATCTTCACCGAGAACAGCAGTAAACACAATGCAGCTGGCAAGGGGAGAATCGGACGGGGGACTCACCGGGACCCAAATGCCTGCAGCAGCTTCAGGGCTCCCAGGTGAAGTGGCCCCAGCAGAGACCTCAAAGGGGCTTCTTGGGGACCAGATTGAGGGGGGGGACACACATGCGAATTCCCTGGCCGCCACTCATGCCTCTCAGAAGAGCACGATTACTCCCGAAAGGAGGACCTTGACTACGCTCGTAAAATTGATTAAAGCCATAATTAGCTGGACTAACAGTTCTTGTAAGAAATATTGCCCAATCCCCCTCCTTCCGTTGAGAGGAGGGGGCTGAGCGGAAGGCAGCCGCTGGCCCAGGGGGATTTACAGCTGGCCAGCAAACTGCAGTGCTCTCCGAGGTATAAACAAGGCTACACAATCCACCCATGGGCAGGGGTCCCAAGAGCACACGTACGTGCTCCAGATTCCCCCTCCCCAAAAACCCAGTGCCACCAATTCTTCCCTGCTTGGGAGGGGAGCCTGGCAGAACCAGCCAGCAGGAATCTGGATGGCCGAGAGCAGAGACAACCCCGCAGCTCTCAAGAGATCGAAAGGAGCCCTCTCTCCAAGAAGCCCATCTGGCAGGGGCTGATGGGCTGCCTCAGGGTGGGGGGGTAGTCCCAGGAACAGCAGTCCAGATAGCACCACCGTAAGGAAGTGGGGAACAGGGCCTGAAACAAGTAGCTCAGGCAAAGCTGCCAAGCTTTGCCAAGACCTTCACACCCTCCAGACTAGTTTATGGGTACAACAGTTTTATGACCATTTAATTCAACCCTGCAAAGTCCAAACAATTCAGGTGACACGGTGGGCAAGTGAGGGTTCGTAGAGGCAGAGCAGGGTCCGTCTCCCTTCCGGGCGTGCCTTGTTCCACGTGGGCATGGGTGGAGCTTCTGCCCCCGCCCCCCTGCCCGAGGCTCTTACCTTGGCTTTTCCCGTGCTCTGCAGGATGTGGACCAAGGCCGAAGCCATCTCTTCCTTGTTCTTCACGCTCAGCAGTGGCTCCAGCACAGAGCAGAGGACCATGTAGTTGTTGGTGATGTACTCAGCAAACTCCTTGTATGTTTCCATGGGAAGCACGCTCATGCTCTGGTAGCGCGACTTGATGCGGATCATGGGCCCCCCGGACTTGCCCTTGCTGGGGTTGGGCGTCACGACCGGGTACCACTTCTCCACGAACTGGCGCCCCGTAACGGAGCCGGCCGGGATGCTGACCAGCCCAATGAAGTTGGTCTTGTCTTTCTTCTTCTTCTTGTCCGTCTCCTTGTACAAGTGGACGGCGATACTCCGCAGGGGCGGGAGGTTGCTGAATTCAAAGTGCTCCCCCCAGAAGACATTGTCCGTTTTCAGCTTGCAAGTGGTGCGGGCATAGAGCGCCTCGTCTAGGCAGAGCTCGCACAGGTATCGCTTCTTTGCGGGCAGTTCTTTGGCCTCGATAATCCACAGCTGGAGCATGTTCTCCACTCGCCGACTGTTGTCCTGGGAAGGAGATGCAGAACCAGAAGTAAACCAGGGCTTACACTTCCACAGATACGTAAAGGGCTCTCAGGTCAGACCCGCAATCTGCACTCTTGGGAATCTTTATCCATGTCCCTAACAAAACACCTTCTAGGTAATATTCATTAAACTGTCTATTGAGCAGAGTTCAGATACATCAGAGAAACGTCCCATCTGGATCAAGACACTTGTGCAAATAATGTCATTTACATCAATTATATATGGGCAGGCTGATCTGACACCCATGGTGTATATTTGTATTAACAGATTTGGATTTAATGGACTCTTAGATTTAACAGACATGAACCTTTTCCAAAGGGTTCAGTGAAGTGACATTTTACTAGACTATCCTTGCTAGCCTCCTTCTTGAAAGGAAGTTGGAAAATTGGGGAGAACAAACGAGGGACATCTTGTCAAAGACCTTCTCCAACACTACCTTGTTCGGATGCACGGCTCGTCGCAGATTCTCCATCCATTTGTCCCGTTCTGCTGCAGACCGGCAGGAAAAGCATTTGCTTCCAGACGACGTTGTCACCTGCCAGAGAAGAGAGAAAGCAGAGCTGGTGGCCATGGGGGTCTCCAGGCAAGAAAGAAAGAGCCACCATCTCAGGCCCTCCATAGTTGGACATGGACATCAAGCTTGGGCCAATTGGATCAAATGTCAAAAAGCAGACACCTTTCTTGATTCTGCCCTCATGTAGACTGACTATGGAGGTTTCCTCCTTGATCTTCATAGTGCATCATAAAATCAAGCAGAAGCCGCATCACCCCTCTGCTTTCCACCCACCGGGCGATGCCAGGACTCTGCCTCCCTCCCGTCCCCCTCCCCGGCCGGCCCTCACCTCGAAGCAGAAATCCTGGCCGAGGATGCTGCTGTGCACGGGCTTGATGACCACTTCCTCCTCCATGCTGAGGTCCAGAGCCTCCGCCGCGCTACCAGGGCTGAGCAGTGACTCGTGGGAACGCGACTCCTTCAGCCTCGGCATTAGATGGGATCTGGGGGGAGGGGAGAAAGGGGGCTGAGCCTCCAGCACTCAGCATCTCCGTTGGGCCCTCAGCACAGGCCAGGGTTGCAAGAAGTCTTCCCCCCTTGGGTCCCACGCAAATGCCCACAGAAATGGGCACAGGGTGCCACTTCGACCCACTGCAGCACAGTCTGCCTGGCCAGTGTGGGAACAGCCGCAGCTGCCAGGGTTTATCTCCTTCAATCAAGGGGTAAATTACCCACACACGTCACCCACCCGCCTACCGGCACTCGGGAGGCAGAGGGTCCACCTGCAGCGGAAACCGAAGGAAAAGTCCGAACAAAGGAATGGAAGCAAAGCCGGGAATTCAGAAGGCAGCGGAGCAGCAGGGTGGCCACGACCGAAGTGGGGCACTGGGAGGCAGAGGGATGGGGGGGAAAGGAAGGAAGGAGAGCTGGGCTGGCAGGAAAAGGAGTCTTTGGGGCTGGATTGGGCTAGCGGGGGTCTGCAGGGGGAGCAGCCGTGATATGACAAGTCCGACTTCACGGGCCGCCCTGGCACCTCCGGAGAAGCAGAGTCCTCCCTCTGTGCGGAGGGGGGGGATTTCTTTCCAGCCCACTTTCCTTGGGATGGGGGCTTGATGGTGAGTGGGGGCTCACTTAGAGCCCCCCTAGCAGACTCTGGGGTGATGGGTTGGAGACTCCTTGGAAGACTTTGGATGGGAAGCAGGAAGGGCCGCCTTTTCCTTCTGCCCCCAGAGAGAGGGAGCTCTTTGAGGGACAACGTGCGCAAAACATTTGTGGGAGGAAGAAGAGCGGTTGTTGGCTGGGGGGAGGGGGAGCAGGGGGGAAAGCTTGGGGGGAGGGGGAAAAATTCGAAAGCCCTCCAGTTGCAAATCCAGGAGGAGCCCTTTGTGACAAACACAGGCTATGAAAGGCATCAGCTGCCCTTTTATCCAACCGGCCCTCCTGATTCTTTTGCTACCCAGACTAACGTGGCTGCTTTTCTCCACAGGACCCAGATCAGCTCCTGCCACGTCCAGCCAGGGGCTGGCAGGTCATCTGAATACTTTACAAGCCTGGACAGCCCCCAGTTCCAATCCTGAGTCTCCAAGGAAGGGGACTTGGGTGCCACTGGACCACCGAGAGAGGAGCCTCGACCACATCCTCCCTTGCCAGAGACCAAATTGCAAATCAGAAGATCATAAAGAGCCCCCCCAACCACTGCCTTGCCCCAAGCGTTTCTCCCCCCAGCCCCCTCCCGAGAGCGGAGAGGGAAACCTGTGAAGGAATTATTCTAATACATGGCTTAATCAATACATATCCGTTAATTGATTCAAACACGAGATAGAAAGAGTCACAAGCGGGACTAGACTAACAAATAGGCAGACAGGAAACACATGCAGATGTATGGACGTTTCTATCCACATCTCCATGCGTGTAGATTGAGGGCAAATATTTGTTTCAGAACAAGAGCCTGGCATGCATCATCCCGAAGGCGCATCCTTCCCTCTCCCTCTTCCAGGAGATGCTTCCTTTAAACCTTGAGGAGAAGGCTGTTTGTGCCAAACTGCAATGTGCTAATTCATTTATCAAGCATTTGTTGTGAAGAGGGAAGGGTCAAGGATGGAGGGGTTCCCTGGCTGGCATCCCAAACAGCCGCCTTTTGCACCCCCCCAGCGGTGGCTGTGATGTGCCGGGCACTGAGAAGGGCAGAACAGCAACCGCTTTCCAGGAACCTGGACGTGAAGTCAGCAAGGCTCCTGCCATTCTCCAGCCAACCCTCCTTCAACCCATTTCTTCCTGCTGGGATCCCTTGCTGCAGGGGCTGGCCAGCCCCCCACACTCTGGTTCCTCGTGCAACGGCCAGGGGGTGGGGGTCAGGGACCGTCCTGTAGCTGAGCAGGAAAGGCCAGGCCAGGCTGGCACAGAAGCAGCCCAAGAGGGAGAAGGGACAGTGGCCAGCAAGAAGGTCCACCCACTGGCTTCCTTTCCGACACGGAGTGCAAAGACCCTCCCCCTCCCCAGCCCTGCTCTCCTCACCAGGAGGGATGTCCCGCTCCACCGCATGGCTTCTTGGGGTGCCCGGTGGCGGAACATCTGCCCCACGGAGACGGGTAGCGTCTTCTTCCCAAATGCACAGCTCAAGCGGCCTCTGTCCCCCTCCCTGTGACCCCCTTCTCGCCTCTCTCGGCACTGCCTGGGCGGCAGCGACGCTGGCAATGGCAGCCCATTGGCGCTGATTGGCCGCTCTGTAGCTGGGGAAAGGAGCGACATCTGCTGTTAAAGTCAACATCCACACCCTGGCAAGCCAGCCCCCCCCCCCAACTGTCCAGGATGCGCTCTTAAGGCAGTCTGGCGGCCCAGCCAGGCAGGGTGTGTGCGTGTGAGAGAGAAAGCAGGGTGGCTGGATGCTTCAAACTGGGCAGGGGCGGAGGGGAGGAAGCGGGTGGCACAGAATGAACACCTGGGCCCAACAGTTACAACCTCACTCATCCAAAGCAGAAAAGGGGGTGGGGGGACAGGATGGACAAAAGGGAGCCCGCCCCACTGCCAAAGGAGAAGGAAACCACCCATGAAATGGATGATGGGCAACGGAGTGGGCGGGGTTGTAGGGAAGGGGCTGATGTGGTGGGGGTCGGAGACCTCCAACTGAGCTCAGAAGACAACTGGTGAGGAAGGGGCAGGACTCCCAAAGAGGACCAGGCCTTCTGAATGGGACTGGGGGGGGAGGACAATCCGCCTCGCCTGCTCCCACCGCAGCCAGGGGCATGAAGGATCTGTCTGCGAAACGAAAGGAACTGCTTGCTGCTGCAGAATCCACACGGCCACCGGCTTCGGTGGCTTTCTTTAAAAAACGGCCTCTCACCCGCTATTAGCCATGATAGCTGAAAAGGGATTTATCGCTGCCGTTCCTGCCTCGCAGCTTTCCAGAGGCCACTGGCTGAGTTGAGCTGTGCCGGCTTGTGAAAAAGCCCCAAACTCTTGGCAGTTGTCCAAGCCTCGCTGCCTCTCCTGGGGACTGAAGCTGCCCCTGGACGCCCGCCCCCTCTGTGGGTGCCCCTGGGAAGGGGTCTCCCCGACGGACTGCAGGTATGCCGGACCAGCCCGCCTCTGGCCCCAGAAGAGCCTAACTTCGCTTGGCAGCCTCTGGCGTGGCTCCCTCCCTCCGTCCCTGCCCAGCCTCTCCTGGCACAGAGGCGGATTTCCACGCCTTGCAGAAGGATCACAGCCTGAGCGGAAGGGGCACCCTTGCCAAGCCCCTCGAGGCCTCCAGAAAGAGCAGGGGGGAGGGTGAAGGATGTCCCGAGATAATTCGAGGGCCCAGCCACTGGAATCCTGCCTTAAACATCTGGCAAGGAGAAAAAAGGCCCAGCCGGTCACCGAGAGACCCTTTGCAAGCTGGCTCCGATGCCACCCCAGCCTCTGGAATGGGCTGGCGGAGGGAGGCAGGCTGGCAGGCAGGCAGGCGTGGGTGTCCCCCTGTCTCCAGGGCAAGGAATTCTGGTGCCCCAGCCAGAACAGATGGCAGGGGCACCTGTCGGTGCCAGGAAGCGGCCCCTTGTCAGACCCAGGAGAGGTGGGAAGCCAAGGGCAAGGGCAGTTAACCACGTCCAGCAGAAGCTTCTTGCGTACAGCAACCCCTGTGCTGCTAGGGGCCCCAGTGCCCATGCATAGGGGTGGGAAAAATGGAGGACAAGGAGCCCACCCCCCCAAGGCAGCTGAGGTCAACTTTCTCAAGGCTCCCAGATGCTGGGAGGCAGAGCAATGATCACCTGGGCAGGGATACCCACCAAGCCTCCTTTCCCACAACCTCTGTTTTCCCAAGAACGAGGGAATTCTTTAAAACAGATTGAATAGCCAAAGAGCGCCACCGACACTCATTCCCAGCTCACTGTTTATTTCCCAGGCAGAGCAAAAATCTTGGCTGGCATTCAGCCTGGCTAGCCGGGAACGTGGCTGGGTGCCCACGCCATGTCTGCGTGTGTCCACATGTGTGTTTGTGTGTGTGCTCACAGGCGGTTCAAGCTGTCACAAAACTGGGAAAAGATACAGAAAAATCTGATGAGATTCTGCTGCTTTTAATCAGAAAATGTGGGTCTTCTCTCTTTTTAAAGCCAGGACCGACATTAAGGTGAAGAACCAGAAATATTTATAATTGCCTCTCAATTTCCCTTCAAGAATATTGCCAGCTCTGTGACACCCCCTCCCCCCCCGATTGTTGTTTTGGAGGACGCAAGAGAGAGAGAGAGGGAGGGAGAGAGAGTGAGGGAGAAAGAGAGAGAGAGAGATTATTTTTGAATCTCTACCTGCTCCTTCAAAGACCATTTGCAGCCACCCAGGAAAGGATTTCCGCTCTTGAGTGCCCGGCTGGCACATTGGAGAAGACTGACCCGGTCAGGTTCTGGGTGGGGCTTGGCGAGGTGGGGCTTGGCAACCCCTCAGGTTCGGTCTGCCAGTGAAACTGGGCGAGGCTGGCAACTGGTTCCCTCTCGCCTCTGACTAGGCAAGTCGTTTCCAGAGGAGAGAAAGGTGTCCCGACCACTGTCTGCAGTGCCAGTCGTGGGGCAGGGGCAAAAGCCCAAAGGGAGCAGAATGCATCCTGGCTGCTGGGTGCCCTCTTTCAGTTGCCACCCTGGCCTGGTCCCTCTGGCTAATCTGGGGGGGGAGGCAGAAAAGGGAGGTGGGAAACGGAGGAAAGGCTGGCTGCAGCCAGCCAGAGGAGACAAAACATTCTGGAGAAGCAGGAGCTGAAGGCGGAGACCCTGCTGGGTTTTATCTCCCTGAGACCATGGCCCAAACAGGGCGGCTCTTGTGGGGCAGGGGGCAAGACCTATCCAGGGCACAGGGAGGGGGAGGAGGAGGCGGCCTTCCCTGGCGTCCAAGGAGCTCCCTGCCTGCCAGCCGTGGCCTCCCTCTATGCCGGACGGGGAGAGGGAACCCGGGCACAGAGGGCAGGGGCTGCGCTCTCCCTGTCTCAGGACGGCTGGCCAGGTAAGACACACCTTTATGGAAGCAGTGGCTTCCGGCTGTCCCTTTCCTACCCCTCCCTTTGCAAACAACTGTTGGCTGCAAAGAAGTTTCAGAAGGTTCTTAAGGGGGGGAGGAGGAGAAGGCCCAGCCAGGTTTTTCTGAGCGTCTACTCAATCCTGGCCCCCCTGCGCTGCCAATTGGGGGAGCAAAGGGAGCAGGTGAACCAGATTTCCCTTTCCCTTCCCTTCCCCTTCCCACATTCTCATGGCTGCCCTGGGTTTCCCAGGACTTCCCCTCTTCCTCCCCCAGGATCATGGCCTTGGGTTCTCCAAATCCCCTCCATTCAGCACCCACCTTCCTCACCCGCCACTCCCCCCCATAAGAGCCCCAGCCAAGAATCTCGGCCCCATTCCAGAAAGATACTTGCTTCCTGTCCTGTCAAACTTCCCACAGAGACACACTTTCTCTCTAACTCCCCAAGTCATCCTGAATCTTCTTGAATAAATTCAGGTAGCAGTGCTTTTCTCTCTCTCTCTCTCTCTCTCTCTCTCTCTCTCTCTCTTTAATCAATAGCTGACAGGCTCGTCAAATTACTTTGGGGACCAACAAAGCAATTTTTAAGCAGGCGTGAGCCTCGGCAGAGCTGTCAAGCCCACCGAAAGCTAAGAGCACAAGTGAGGGGCTGAGAAACGCGGCTCAACAGCATTATGCTTTTGTAAACTAGATATTAATTTATCATTAATGAATCACCGTGGAGCAATGACATGGATTCCTCAAAGTTCCCGGCCCTCCCTTGCACAGAAAACAGAGCGGGGGGGGGCACCTTCAGCTGAAGAAGAGGCAAAGGGAAGCTATAGCCGTCCAAGACAGACTATTTGGGGGTGGCGGGTAGAGGTGCTTAGTTATGAGAATCCATCCACTTTTGGTAAAGCTGTAGGGAAGAAAAATATCAGCTAGATTCCCCCCCCTCCAAAAAAACCCAACAACAACAACAGACAATCTAAGGCCAGCGGGTCCAGTTCTGGTCACCTTCAACTGCCAATGGGAGCTAGTGGGGAGAGAGATTTGGGGGTTTCCAGAGAACCAAATGGAGCCTCCATTTTTCAAAGAATAATCTGACCAATTCCTTCCTGTCTGGGCAATTCTGCAAAACAAACAAATAAAAAGCGTATTTCCGCTTTACTTGATGTTTAAGGATTCTTAATCTCTTTATTTGATTTCTTTTCACCAGATGTATAAATCACTCTGCTCAGAACCAACTCTGATTTCATACTTTGCCAGCTTCGCGACAATTCAAACCAGGATAGGCAAACAACGCAGAAAAGCTGCAGTGCCGCCTAACCTTTTCGCCTCCCAAGAGTGGCTGTGGAGGAAAAAGTTTGATTGCAAAACACTGCAGGGGTGGGGGAGAGCCTGCCTGGGGGCCATTCTCGAGGGCAGGGGGGAACCTGAGGAGACCCAGCCATCTATCCTGGGGGTTTCAAACCCGCCCCAGGCAGACCCTTCTGGAGGAGGAGGCGATCATTTGAACATCCTGCCCTGACTCTGTGGCACCAAGAAGAGCAAGGGAGCAAATTGTATTTCTGGACAAGGTCCATTTCTATGGCTCTGGACAGTTTCCAAGATTAAGAACAACCTAAGAAAGACGTCAAAGTCAGCGTTTCCTTGGCAGGATGGGGATCTGAGTTCAACTGCACTGACCCATCGATGTCTCTGCCCTCTCCAGATGCAAAACGTCCCTTCACAGCTGTGGAAAAGCAAAGCGACCAACTCAGGAACTTCACATCCGCTTTCCTGCGAGGGGAGGAGCTGCAACACGAGAGCCTCAAATCCTTTGCCATGTGACCCAAATCTGCAGCCCAGGAATATCTGGAAGCCTCAGCAAGAAGGAGAGAAATCTCCTGTAGCTTTCCAGGGCTTTGCTTCTTAAAGGGCTGAAAGATGGCGAACTCCGACATTAGGGCCAGGCTGGGCTGGACCCCCCTGTCCCCCCCACTCCGAAAACATCCATCCTAAATGCTGTGGATTTGCATCCACTCTGAAAGTCCCCAGACAGAACGTTCTTTCTTCCAAAGACTTTACTCCACATACTCTCATCATAGGCAAAGTGACCTAGTTTTTCAACCATTGTTTGCAAATATCTGATTCTGGAACACGCTTTGCCTTTTCGGTCATTCTGTTTTTCCTTCTCCCCGCTGGCATCTGCCCCAGCTTCATCCCTGGAGAGCAAAACAGGGGCCATATCTGGAAGTCTGGAAACAATTTAGGCATTTGCCGTGGGTTTGGGAAAAAATTCACAGATACAGGGAGAAGAAGAGACACAAGAGAAGCCACAGACAAACCCCTAATGTTTTTTGAGCAATGCAGAGCAGCAACTAAGATCGATGCTTGTGGAAATGTTTCACAGGACCCTGGACCCCTAACCTATTTTGAAGCCCAATCTTGGCGAGCGACAGCAAAGAGAAAAGGACTGGCAAAGCATGGGCAAAGTGACAAAACCTTCAAAAATTCCCTCCACAATGAGATCCAGTTGCCTCAAAAGACAGCAATGCCAACAGATGCCGCTCTGCAGTCAGCAAGGAGGCTCCCAGGCTCCCCCGCCCATCTGCAAAGGGGCAAGGTCTGCCCCCTCCCCTGCCCCCTTGCTAACCTCCCAGGTTGTCTCACCTGGGAGGCTGGTTTCCTCCTTGGCACACACCCAGCTGGGCCCCCACTGCCCCTTCTCTTCTCTGCGAGCCTTGTGGGGGCTTGTTTGCTCCTGATGGAGAAAGACCGAGGGAGGGAGGGAGGGAGGCAGAGGGAGAAAGAGGCCCTGGGTGCACACTCACCCTCAGGGAGAGCTCCACTCAGCGGCTGAGTCCCAGGTCTGTTTGGGAGGAAGCCAACCTTGCAGTCTGAAGGATCCCCTCCATACCAAAAGCTTCCAAAAGCCGGGGGGGGGGGGGAGACGGCTGGGAAACACTCACACGCCCCCGCCCCAAAGCAGGAAGTGAGCTTGTGAGTCCTCGGCCCACCTCCTTGTATGGTGCCAGCGCTTGGCCTCTGCGCACGAGGGCCTGGCTCCCAGCCCAGCTGCTTCTGGCCTCAGGAAACTGTTCCGGCAGGCAGGCTGTCCCTCCACAGAAACGGTCCTGGGAAGGAGTGTATTCAGCCAGCCCATTTAACCCCTGCGGATGCCGCCTATAGCAGAGCAGCAGTTCCATCAGGCAGGAGGCAGACCCCGCTGGCTGTGGAACTGCTCCGGAGGTGGCTCTGGGCAGTTTCCCCAGAGGAAAGCAAGGCTGGGACCCCAGGGGGCAAGCTGCAGATTATTGGAGGGGGGATGGATCTGCATTACATTGGGAGCCAACCAGAGGGGTTTAGGTTGAGCCTAGGGCAGGGGCAGTGAAGGCTCCCTCCGAGCCCAGCTGGGTCTGGCGTTGGAAAGCACAGGAGCCTCTGCTCGCCCTCAGGGCTCCTCCACCCTCTGGGCCATGCAGGAAGCCCAAAATCCAGAGAGATGCTTTCTCCCTCCTCACTTCCAGAAGAGGCAGCTCCCCTGCCCTGCAACTTCTTCGTCCTCTCAAGGAAATAAAACGCGGCACCAGAAAAAGGTTCAAAACCGCTCCGTCCTGCACTGCAGAGTTTCTGTCTCACTCCCTCCATCCCCCAATTTCATGCAAGCGGGAGGGGACTCAAAGGGACCTCCAAGGTGCCTCCCTCCTCCTCCTCTTCCTCCTCCTCCTCCTTCTTCTTCTCCTTCTCCTCCTATTATTATTATTATTATTACTACTACTACTACTACTACTACTACTATTCCCCAGAGAAGGCGCTTGAGGAGCAAAGTCCAGGGAGAGGACATTCCTGGGGGACTTTGAGAAGGCCTTATCACTTCTTCCTTCTTTCCCAGCCGGTGGTAACTCCTTCACCTGGACTTTGTCGCCAGAGATAAAACATCTGCTTTGCAGAAAAAGAAAGGAAAGCACAGGCTTTTGGGGGGTGGGGTGGGGAGGGTTGCAAAGGGACACTGCTGCTGACCTTTAACCATCTCAATACTCAGATATTCTATCACAAAGCTGCATGGAAAACTGATTATTTAGACACTGATACCGCAACCTCCATCCGGTATGTCAAAACCCCCAAAGCAGGGATAAATAAATTTTCCTGGCCGCTGTGTGTTTTGCTGTGTCAGGTGGCCTTCAACTCTGTTCAGATAGGGAGAGAGTCTTAGCTTAGTGTTTTACGTGATGCACAGTGGCTTAGCCTCCAGCGAGCCTGGCCTTGCGTAAAAGCCACCCAGCTTTCGCCCGAGGAGGGAACACCGTCTCCGAATCGCTCAGCCTGCCCAGCCTCTCCTCAAAGCCTCCTCAGCTTCGCAAGAGCCCAGTTCCACCTTGGGGAAAAACACAACCAGCGACGCACAGCTGCTCTCCTAACTCGAGATCCTTCGGAGACGTTTCACGCCAACAAGTTCTGCGTTAATGAGAAACGGCGTCTCCAGCCCCCCTTCCCCCTCCCTCCAAAAAGAGCAAGCCTGGAGCTAGTGCTTCAGAGCACGCTGGGAAGAGACGGGAACGAATCCCACGGCTGGGACTCGCGTGCATTTATTGCTCCGACCGCCAGACTATTTATTGATCCTTCCGGCTCCTAGGCTAGGAGAGGGAATCGCGAGGTGGGCTCTTTCTCCACCCAGGAGAGGGGGAATTGGGTGGAGGGGAGAACCCACAGGCTGAATCGATCCGCAGAGGAGAGGAGCAGAAAACCCAGGGAAGAATCCTGCCACCCACGCATCGCCCATCGCCAGCTGACGGGGCACTTCCTGCACCTGTCCCGACAGCCAAACCAGCAAAGGGGTCTTTTTCAAGGGCAGGGTCTGCAGCCCCTCCCTGGTACCCACCCAGTGAAGTTTCCCCTTAGCAGCAGTCCTCTCCCCTCGGTGATCCCAGAGGATGGCAAAAATGGGCAGGGAGAGAAGGCAGCACAGGAGGCTTACAAGGATGCCAGGCCCCCTCCCCTCCTTCAGACATCGGCCAGAGCCATCATCCCCCAAAGGGGCCACGACAGGCTCACCATCTCCTGTTCAACAATGGCACCACTGCCTTTTAAGTGGACAACGATGAAGTCATTTGTTTATCGCTTTTGGCACGACTGCTCGGTCCCACTTCACCACCATAAATCTCACAGCAGTCCACTTGAACCTCACCACCACTCCGGCTCTACCTGCTAGGTTCCGGGAGGGGGACCCTGGCCCCCTTTTGCTCCCCCCCACCTGAAATCTCCCGCAAGCAGCCCGCAAAGGCACCCCCCCTCCCAGAGCCCTGATAAAAACAATACCTGCGGTCAGCAATGGAAGTTGCAAGGCTGTGGGAAAGAGTGACCTGCAGAGGGAAGGGGGTGTTCCTTCTCCTCCTGCCCAGCACCTGTTCTTTAATCAGGTTAAGATCCGTCTAAACATCTGTTTGGGATGCTTTGCCTGGGAAAGGCCGAGTGCCCGGACTTCCCTGGGCTGACTCAGATGGCCCAGAGCCATCGGTCAGGGTGGGGGTGCAAACGGAACAAGAAAGGGTGGGAACCACATAATAGGACAAAACAACACACAAATACCAGCCGAGCTCTGCTCCTGGACAAACTGGCCGGGTTGCTTTAGTTCTGTAGAAGCAGCCTCGCCATGTAAGTGAGCAGCTAGCCTGAGACAAAGGGGAGACCCAGAACTGCACAGCGAAAGCCCCCCCCCACGACCTCTCTCTGCCCCCCCTTGTGCATTAGAAACAAATGCTAAGCACGGGGTGGGGTGTCTGCCTTGAACGGCACCAGATTTTTGGCGGGGGGGGGGGCTGTGCAAAAAGCAACTCCTGTTGAACCTCTACCTGCCTGCAGCTTCCAGAAAGACAAACGGGTATCTTCAAGGCAACTTCAGCCCGGACTCACTCTGCTGGGGCTACGGGGGCGGGCAGAGCGGGCTGGACAGCGCCCAGCGCTCCCCGTTTCCCACGGGCGCAGCAACACCGCGCTCAAAGCACGGAAGCAGGACGGAGGGGGGGGGGGCGACGCCTCAGCCAGGCCGGCCTCCCCTCCTCCCCAAAGGAAATGCAAGCCAGCTGCTCTCTACTACAGGGCGGAAAGGACCCCCGTCCCCTCCCGAGTTCGCGGCTTGCAGGCAGAGGGAGTCCCGGCCGCGGCCGCTCCCGGAGCAGGCCGGCCGAGCCCGCCCGACTCGGCCGCAGAGCCCGGACGAGCCAGCGCCTCACCTGGGCAGGCAGCAGTGCCACCGCCGCCGCCGCCGGGGAAGCTCCTCCGGGCCAGGCGTCTCGCCTCGCCGCCCTCCAGCACGGCGCTCCGGCCACCGACGGGCAGGCAGGCTGGCTTTGGCCGAGGGGCGGGCGGCGGAGACCCCCGGCCCGCCCGCAGCTGCAGCCGCCTCGCCTGGCCGGCTTCCGCGGAAAGGGAGGAGACAAAGGCGCGCTCGGCTCGGCCCGGCCCGCCCCCTCCTCGACCCCGGCTGGGAATCCCGACAGGGAGGGCGGGCCGGCGCGCGCTTCCCCCCGGAGGGGGAGACTGCTACGGCGGAGCTCTCTGCAGACGCTCAGAGGCACCCTGCCAGCTGGAGGGGGCATCGGAGACCGAGAGGGCTCCAGCGAGGGAGTCTGGAGCCCGGCTCTGCTCCTGAGAGCGTTCCCCCTTCCCAAGGGCCCTGAATGGGGCTGGCGGTGAGGGAGGCCCTTGGGAACAGCCCACCGGCCAGCCCCTCCGGCCACTTCAGACTGAAGAGGTTGTGGCTGGCCTGGTTAGAGAGGGCAGGGGGACCAGAGGCCCAATGGGCGGAGGGAGTGCCTGCCTGCCTGCCCAGAAAGTCTCAGCCTGGAAAAGACGGCCGCTTGTAGCCCTCTGACGCTCTGGAGGCCCCGGGCAAGGAAGTCCCAGCCTCTCCAGGGGCAGCTCTGGAGGGGGGCAACAGGGCCTCTGGGCCCTTCTCCATCCTGAGGCATTCTGCAAGATAAACCCCCACCAGGTAGGCAGACGGTCTCCCCCCACCATCTTGCCCATTCTGTAGAAGAGATGCCAACGCAGCCCGAAGCACCCCAAGACACAGGTCCGTCTCCCGCCCGTGCACGGCAGCCCGGATCCGGGTCAGGCAAATTCTGCCTTCTTTGTGTGTATCCAGGTTGCCAGAAGAGAGAGACACCCATCTGCAAAGAATTGGCAACGGGCACAGACAGACGGCCGGAAGGTAAACAGCGTGGGCGAGCTTCGTGGCATCTGTGAAGTGGCAGAGTGTGGCAGATCCCAAACATGGCGGCAACGGCTGTGAGTTTCTGTTTTCTTTTCAAAAAGAGGCTTTTGTGGTGGGGGGGAAGGGAGGGGAGGATGATTCATCCTAGAGACCGGTTCTTCTTCGATGATGGTGGCGGTGATTGATCACACAGTCAGCCAGATGTTTGGGCTGGCTTTGGCATTTTGGTCCACCCGTCGAGCCCTTCCCAAGGACCTGGGATGGGCAGGTGTGCATGTCCATGGGTGTTGAAAGCAGCATCGCAGGATGCCAGCTCTTCCAAGCAAAGCTGCCTTCTGCAATTGATCGACGGGGATGTTTGTCAATGTTGATGGTGTTCAAGTGGTGCTCCAGATGTTTTGGGACTGCACCCAAAGGCTTTTGTCTTGGCTTTCTTTTGCCACAGTCATTTCACTTCTGTTTACAAGTCTTTTTATTTTGTCATCTTCTCTTCCGCCGGTTCCAGGTACTGCCATGTCCAGTATCCAGACTTTTTTTTTTTTTTTTTTTTTTTGTCTTCCTTACTGACGATGGTTATGTCTGGGCCATTTTGCAGCAGGTGCTTTTCTGTCTGAATTTTAAAGTCCCAGAGCTTTCTCATTTTTATTTTTATTATTAAAAGCATGCCTGCAAATTAAAAGTTAATGGAGCAGATTTAATGCTGATGTCAGGCAATCTTCCACCGAGGGCTGGTGCTGGCTGCAGCCAATGGAGAGCTCGCTTCGCCATGGGGCGGAGATCCCAAATCACTGCAAATGGATCGGGTCCCAAATGGAGTCTGCCGGGGAGTGGTGGGCCAGCCGTTCCCCCATCCTCGCAACAAAAGTGCCCTTCCTGTAAGTCCTCCCATCCTTCTGTCCCAGTCGGAGAGAACTTTGATCCACAGAAGCGGCAACCTCTGCTGGCTTTCAGCTCAAGGAGCAGGGCAGGATGTGATTTCCTTCAGATGAAAATTACAGGGCCCGTCTGCGGTCAGTGTGATGTGGATCCTGGCTGTGTTCTGCCGAGGCTAAATATGGCTGATTGGCCTGTAGCATTTCCTTCCAAGGAAGCCAGAAGCTCTCTAGGGCAAAGCTCAAAGAGAGGGACTCGGCATCTGAAGGTAATTTGGACTCCTTGGAAAGGAAAGGACCGGGAGATTTCAGATGGAACCCATAGATCGATCGATCCACCCAGGTTCGGCAGCTGTATCTTCATCCAGGAACGTGCCCTGACGTGCTCAATCTCTGTTTGTTTAAAGCATTTAAAGCATTCTTCCTCGCATCCATCGTTTCAACTCATTTTTGTGCATGACCAGCAAAGTACTTGATCTTGACCATTTTGAGGTATTGCGTGGAGCCAAGAATGACCCCCACATTCTGTCACTGTTTTCCCAGCCTTCTAACCACCCCTCCATTCCCCCCCCCACACACACCCCAGAAAGATCACGCTGGCTGGGGATTCAGAGGGCCAGCCTGCCTATCTTGACACAGGAAGAGCAGGGCTGAGAGGCTTCTGCAGAGCTAGCTGTGCAGCACACACGCTCAAATGGCCCCTGAGCCTCTGGCCCAGATGTGCTCTTCCTGGGCTTCCCCAGGGTTATGCCTACCTGGAAGAGGTTGTGCTCAGGAGAATAAATCTCTCCGAGAGCCAAATCAGCACATTATCTCTCCCACAACTCCTGGCTAGGAGGCACCTTTACCTCGCTTGTCAACCTGCTAAAACAGACAGCCTCTCCGGCAGCCACAAAACGTGGGACTCAGTCCACTTTCCTTCCACCTGCCCTGCTCTGCAAGGCCCCCACATCTTTCCTGGGTCCAGCACAGGGGCAGTTCAGGCCCACTTCCTAAGCCACGTTCTGTTTAGCCAAGGTCCTAGAATAAGCCACGGTGGCAATCTCTCTACCACCTGCTAAATCCAAAACACACAGAGCTGGAAATTACAGATTACAGAGCACAAATAGTTGGGGACATACAACCCTAAATGAATGTTTCTCAACCTTGGCAACTTGAAGATGTGTGGACTTCAACCCCCAGAATTCCCCAGCCAACCTTGAGAAGCGCTGTCCTAACCACATCATGGATCCTCAGAATTGGTACAACTTTGCAGTGGCTCTATTCGCACATCCTGGCTAATGCATTAATCTATTTGCAGGATTTGCATGATACACACACACACACACACACACACCAAAAAATGAAAGCTCAGCAAAGTTGGGATATTCTGCAGATACAGCTTACCGGATTTGGTTCTGAGTGTTACGTGACCAGGGCAGCTGCTTTTTAAGCTACGTGACAGATTGTTGGGAGGATTAAAACCAAGGTGGGGTGGAAATTATTTATGCTCGTTTGAGGTGGGAGAGCCTGGGTCTTGAGGGCAGATGGCCTGAAGGGAGGGTTGCTTCTGTGCCATCTGGAGAGGCCTCGCTGGGCTACCTGGGTAGGCACCCCACATGTCACAGAGTCAACTCGATTGCTCCCAGAAGGAGCTCCATTGAGCCTCCATGTCTAGAGGCACTCTAGCCCCGGTGGCCTGCATGGGGGCTTTCCTGAAGGGCTGTTTTAACTCCTGCTTGTTAAGGGGGCAGGAGGTGGGACCCCAGAATTCCCAATCTGGGGGAGAGGGCAGAGAGTCTCCTGGGCAATAAGCCAAGATTGCCCTCTGCCCTCTCCTTTGCTGTCCTTTTGGACCCCTCGCCCATTCCGGATGCCACCGATCCATTCTGGGTGCCAACAACGGAGCTATCTGACAGGGCTGTGCTGCCCCAGGAGCTGCAGCAGAAGACTGCCAGGAGAGCCGGCCTCAGACAAAGCCACCCTGTCCAGGCCATCTTGCCTACGGGCTCCTGCGTTTCTTCTCCTCCAACACGGCCCTGGTGTGACATGTGGCACCTCGCCTGCTGTGAACTGAAGGCTGTTGGGGGAAGGGAGGGTGATTAGAGTGTAAGGCTCTGCCC